GACACACAAAGACATAAATATTCCGTTTAGCCTTACAGATCGTAGGGGTAAGTATAGTTAGCGAGCACCTTTCAACGGCACATGAGGGATTGGCGTGGCTGAGTACAACGCACGCCCGACAGCACCTTTTTTTCCACTGTGCTGATGTGCATACACCGTGCCAAGGCCTCACCTTGAAAGCTGAGTCGACCGAAGGCAGATCCAAGGCAGGTTCAGATGCCAAACGCCACTGATGTTAGCCGTGGCTGGGAATCGATATCGTGCAACATAGCCAGGAACAGCAGCCTCGTGAACCACTGCACAAGACAAAGACACGGAATGATTGCGGCATCATTTTTGCACAAACATTGTTTGGACAAGTCCTCTGGTTTTATTCCAGCAGTTGGTGCCGCGTCTCTGATGATGTCCACAGTTAACGTATCTGGTAGGGCAGCTTTCCCCCGTTCCATACATCACAGGACAATGTCGACCTTTTCAATTGTGACATCCTGAACTCCCTCTATGTCTTATGAGAGTTGGTCTACTTCCTGGGCTATAATGCATTGTTTTGTTTATTTTACTATCGAGATCTGGATGAATACGAACAAAACAAGCGGGGTTGTCTCCGGATATTGAGTGGCATAATCCACCAATGTCAGCTTGTATCAAATGCCTTAGCGAACACGAGGAGTCCTCCGATTGCCCACCGGAAGGAATTGCACATCGATCGTGGGCATCCACAACAGAAGTATACGAGGCACACATGATTTGTAACGCGCACATCCGTTCATTCACAGCAAGAGATGACGATCCAGAGGCGCAGGGAACCACAGAAAACAGCTCAAGGGCAGCCAGGACCGGTGCCAACGCTTGCCCAAGCTCTGTGGTCCTATGTTGGGAGCTTGGGCAACTCCAGGAATGAGCATCTGAAAAATGTGGGAGTAAAGTGGAGTGTCCGGAGAAAGCCTGCCTGTGCAAGGGGTAACACCTAATGCACATTGATGGAAATGAACCCACTTGCTGTACTGCCATACCCGAGCAAGCGACCTCGACACCCGCACGGAAAGTGGGAGTTGTTCGTCTTCTCAATGCCGCGAAGCCACTCGAATTGACTCTTCTGACGAGACACTGAATGTCTAAACCGGTCCAGGGTTTTGATTTTGTTGAACCAATGCTGCTGAAATTATGCGCTCCCAGAACGGAAGGGCCGTGTGGCGGATGGGATGTGTCAAAATATATATTTTAAAGCGGAGGGACGGATATGGAAGGATGCGAATTGCCTGCTTTGTAATTCTGGTGTGGGGTTAAAGTGAGGGCCGCTATCACCCAGAACCCACGCCCAGTTTGGGTCTTGTGAGCGCTGGTCCTGGGCTCATCGCGGGGAGTCACACTCCCAAGAGCTACGCTCTGTTGATACGCGCCGGACGTCGGTTGAAACTGTTTATTGAAAATATCGAAAGTTGTTTACTGCGAGTGTACAAAGGTAACTGAAATAATTTAAAGTAATTTATTGGAAGTATAACATGTTTACGGAAAGTGTTAAAGCTGCTTATTGAAAGTGTTTAAAGTTGTTTATTTAGTTCAAATGTACAAGTTTAAGTGTTTTCCTGCTCCAATGAACATTGTGGCGATGCTCATCTTCTATTCACAGCCTTTGAAAATCCCACATTCATATGGCTGGGATGAGTATATCCACATTATTTAGCTGCTCATTAAAATTACTAAAATTTGTTTATTTTTCAAGTTTTGCAGTGTGCCTGGTGCGTGTGTAAGCAAGTGGCAGGACGTCACCACGGGGCTTGTGCCAGGCCAGGTGCACTCTGAGGTCCCGTGAAGTGTCGACGGCTCGCTGGCAGGCAGTCAAGGCACAGACCCAGGTGCCATGGGGTTGACTGAGATGACGGGAAGGTGCACCACCTGTGCCCCCTACTGTGCCAACTTCATTTTAGCCGTTCGGCGCTCGGCTCGTTGTGAGCGTCGCTCCTCTACCCTCCGCTGTTGTTGTTGGAGGGCGACTGCCTCCAACTGCCCACACACATCCACACACAGAGAGACAAAGACACACACATCCACACACATAGAGACACAGACACACACATCCACACACATCCACACACATCCACACACAGAGAGACACAGACACACACATCCACACACATCCACACACAGAAAGACACAGACACACACATCCACACACATCCAAACACAGAGAGACACAGACACACACATCCACACACAGAGAGACACAGACACACACATCCACACACATCCACACACAGAGAGACACAGACACACACATCCACACACAGAGAGACACAGACACACACATCCACACACATCCACACACCGTGTCAGGGCGAGTGCTGTTTGCGAGCACCAATGAAGGCCGAGACGGCACACGCCAGGGCTGGGTGGCCAGAACCCCGTTCGGCCGCCCGTCTCCCTATTGGCGATGTTTACGCATCGCACCAGGTACTCATTTGAGGCTGAGTGGACCGAGGTGAGGCCCAGGATCGGTTCAAATAGTCGTCAATGGTGTTGGACGTGAACGGAAATCGAACTCGGGTCGCTGAGTTCGTAGCGCAGCGCGCTAACCGCGACACTACCGCTCCCCATACATGTGCACAACCACGCACACGCAGCCCACGCGTTCTGCTACGGACAGGCGCAATCCCGTGCCCCCAGCTCTGCTGAGCACGGGATGCAGCAGCGCCCTCAGCTGCTGTCCAGTGGCAGCGAGAGCAACTCCGTTCGCATACCGAGATGTAGCCGTGAATACACTTTTTTTTTTAAATAACATCTCAATACAGAACACTACGTAATCATCGCTAGCGGTGTGTGGAGAACATCAACAACGGTAGAAGGCGACGTCTTCTCGTTCGCTGTTCGCTCCGTTAAACTGAGCGACGCCGTATGTCTTGGAACCGCTTTGTTGGCCAAATTCCGCGCTCCTCTCAGTGTTTATACAAAGCGCGACACTGGCTGGAATGGTTGCTTGTAAAAAAATGTTTGTTGCTGTTAAAATGTGTAAAAAAGTTCTGTGCTTGTGCAATGACCAGTGAGCAATGTTCACGTCTTGAGAAACGCGGAGAGCAACGGCGCGCTGCGCCAAGGCGTCCGCCAAACAGGCGGAGACGCTGCGGTGCCACGGCCGCGGAGTAACTCCGCAAGCGCCGCGGCTGTCCACTACCCCCACCCTGAGCACAGGCAGCACACACGCAGCACTCGCACCCACGTAGTCGTGTTCCGGCGGGGGAGTGCCTGGCACGTCGGGTTTTAATCCGAAGGGCCCCTAGAGGGGAAGTCCCACGGTTTCCCGGTGCCTGGAGATTTGCCGACTGTTACATTGCGATGCCATGAAATTGGTTTGAAATTGTATGGGCGCAGAATGACAAGGTTCCCTGGGCCAACCGCAATGAGTTACTCGCGACATTGGGGGGAGGACGGAGGGCGGAATATTAGGCAAGCGAAGGCGCAAGAGCCCCTCGAGGCAATGGGCAACGAGGGACGATGGGTGGCCGCCGCTGTCACCGCGCAGCACTCGAGGGAGGACGCGGTGACGGGGGGGTGGTGACCGCAGGTTGGCCGCGCGGTGCAATGGCACCCCGGGCCTTTGAGGTTAAGGGAATAAAAAGAGTAACCCGGGACGATTTTGGGCTCTGGTCTTCAACCTCCGGGCCGTCTAGACCCTCCCCCTGCCGTCCTGCCTCCTCGAGCCGCTCGCAGCGTCCGTGTGATGCCAGCGGGTGCCGCTACGAGGCAGCGACAGGTGAAGTTTTCTCTCGTCCTCTCACTCCGACTCCCGCAGCGTGAGTGCAGCTTCGAGGGACGTGGCAGGACGTCTGAGTGACTGAGTTCTTAGGCAGACTTAGGCCAAGCTCTTCTCGCAAAATATTCACCCCAGGCAGTGTAGTTGTTAATAAACTTGAGTACAGAGTGTCGGTGCAGTGTGATTTCTGTGTGTGTGGGTAGAACATCGGCGTGGTGTCTGCGATGTGTGTGGTGTGCGACTGCACGGGGAGGAGGCGATGTGCGCGAGAGAGTGGGCGCAGCGCTGCCGCGTCGGCCATCTGAGTGTGGGAGTCACGCAGCCGCCTTCGTGCTCGTGGTGGAGGAGCACGCGGGCGAGTGCCGAGTCACCCCGTGCGGCGGTGAGCCAGCGCTGCAGCCACGCCACTCAGGGGGAGCGCCAGCACGGGGGGGGGGGAGGAGCGATCACCCGGTCGGCGGGGGCCCGGCGGGAGGCGATGGAGGTTGTGGAGGAGGGAGTGGAGGGGGAGGGAATGGAGGGGGAGGGAATGGAGGAGGGAGTGGAGGGAGTAGAGGAGGAGGGAATGGAGGAGGAGGGGGGAGTGGAGGAGGGGGGAGTGGAGGAGGAGGGAGTGGAGGAGGAGGGAGTGGAGGAGGAGGGAGTGGAGGAGGAGGGAGTGGAGGAGGAGGGAGTGGGGGAGGAGGGAGTGGGGGAGGAGGGAGTGGAGGAGGAGGGAGTGGAGGAGGAGGGAGTGGGGGAGGGGGGAGTGGAGGAGGAGGGGGGAGTGGAGGAGTGGAAAAGGAGGGAGTGGAGGAGGAGGGAGTGGAGGAGGAGGGAGTGGAGGAGGAGGGAGTGGAGGAGGGGGGAGTGGAGGAGGAGGGAGTGGAGGAGGAGGGAGTGGAGGAGGGGGGAGTGGAGGAGGAGGGAGTGGAGGAGGAGGGAGTGGAGGAGGAGGGAGTGGAGGAGGAGGGGGTGGAGGAGGAGGGAGTGGAGGAGGAGGGGGTGGAGGAGGAGGGAGTGGAGGAGGGGGGAGTGGAGGAGGAGGGAGTGGAGGAGGAGGGAGTGGAGGAGGAGGGGGGAGTGGAGGAGGGGGGAGTGGAAAAGGAGGGAGTGGAGGAGGAGGGAGTGGGGGAGTGGGGGAGTGGAGGAGGAGGGAGTGGAGGAGGAGGGAGATGGGGTGGACGTCGTCCCTCACAATGCAACGCAACTTATTTCGAACTAACTACACGTCATTTATTCAAAGTGGTATGAAGCACAGCCATTGCCCGAAACGTCGCCTATTATATATTTTTCCTTTTAAGACCGCGGTGTTGTTGACGATTTTGGTGACTTGTTGTGGTTATGCTTGTGCACCGCTGCCAATGTAACGGCAGCAGCAGCAGCAGCAGCAAATACTGGAATGTCATTTTATTCGTACATATTGAGGAGCATTTGACCAAATCACGTGCTGGGTGACGACCACGCACAACACCCAAGCACACAGCCTGTGGAGACACGTGGTGGTCAGCAGAGTGCACTACAGACAAAACACTATTACTATTGTACTGCACTTCTATGGTCCCGCTTATAATTTCCCCCACCTCTTCAGAACCCTACGCTGACTGACCATCATGGTGAAGTATGGTGACATAAACTACCACTGCGTGGGGAGGTTATCATCCAACGGTGGAATTGCAAAAAGGGATAGGCATGCACGTGTAGGTTGAGTAACTGACCTCGTTTCAAATGCAAGTGGCTCCTACAAGCCCTGCGGTGAGCAATGGTGACGGGCACAGAGAGGATGTCTTTAGTCAGGAGAGGCGCTAGACCACGACTGACTGATGAGGATGGTAATGATGAAGATATTGAGTGGCTATGATGTATTCGCAGTTTTTAGTCGCTGATCGCATAGAATTCCACACGTAATTGAAATTCATTTCCATGACATTACTGAGTTGGTGGTGGCAATTCCATGTCCCTACAGCAGGGTTGGTTAATCCGTAGGAAAATCAGTGGCACTCGTTTTCTCTACTCGAGAGGAATGACGATGGTGGTGATGATGACATTCATGTTGTTCTCACATTGAGAGGTTATGAATAGTTGACAGTGGTGATGAAGATACTCACGATTACCATGGAGGAAAAACATAACCAATGATGGTGATGTTGACTATTGCGATGATTATGACTATTAATCACGTGGTTGGTAATGTTGATGATTGTGGAACTCCGAAATAAGCTATGGTGATGATGATGGCGGTGATGATGATGACGATGATGGCGGTGATGATGATTAAGCACAATTAATGATGTTTTGCGTGGCATTTGCCCTAAAGGCATGGGGCCGATCAGATAAATATTCAGGCGCAAATATCTGCGCCAGCACTCAACTTGGTCTGAGGGAGACCGCTTCGATCTTACAACCGCGTTCCCAAATCTGTCCCCCAATATAATTGAATGTTTTTTTACACACGCCATCAGCCGCACAGCCCTTTGGGAGGGCATCATTTCGTTCGACAACACGACCTGGGGTTTTGACATTCAGGGTCTCATCACGAACGCGCCCATGAGTCCGGCAAACACAACACGTGCGGGGTTGTTTGACCATATTTTACCACCAGCACCACCAGCACCACCACACGCTGGCCCGCGCGGGTTGATGAAATCTGTGAGCAGCACATACGCGCGAGCGCACAAGTATGGTACAACACCACAGCAAGCCCGTCGCCTATAACAACCTGGTGTGCATGGCGGTCACCCATCCAAGCACGAACCAGGCTCAAACCTGCTTAGCTGCCGATATGACGAGGTTGGGCGCCTTCAGGGCAAATTTGGTCACAGACGAGATACAAGTTTACACACAGTGCACACCATTTGATGTGCAACGGCGTTCGTTTAGACACAGGCGATGATCCCCCTGTAGTGCTCTAAGCGAACACCTCTTCAGGCTGGAACGTGCGCAAGCGGGTGGGGTGTGGTCAGCACCACGCTCAGCCACCAAACTGTTCAATCACAACTGATGTTAGCCGTAGTTAGGAATCGAACTTGGACTACCGGGTTTGTAGCACAGTGGGTGAATCTGCGCACCACCACTCCCCCTCAAAGACTCCCCCCTTTTTATAGCCTGAACACTGTCGGGGCAAGTGCGATTTGCGAACACTCGCACACCAATGTCCACAGAAAGACGCGCACACAGACACGAGTCGCTAAGGCTTCATGAACCGATAAGAGTCGAGGTTTCAAAACTGCAAGTTCCATCATCATTAAAACTATCTTGGGTCCTTGCGTCAAGAGTAAACACGCAGCGCGATAGCCGGCGACTCGTGCTGACCGGGTCACCCAGTTCAACTCCACCGCACCCACAGCCCCACGAGGCACGCAACTCAAGCAGGCAACTTTCACCGCAGGCAACTCCCAGCAACCCGCTGGGTAACGAGGTCAACTAGAAGTGACGTTTGATCCACTCCATTGTTTTTGCTTGTTTACCCAGAGAGACCTTGGTGAGTCTCGTGACTCTTTTTCAGGAGGGTCCTGCAGCATGTCGAGGTAGGAGACGGTGATTATTCATAATACACACAGCCTACGTGTTAAACAGACGATGATTAATATGAATTTTCTAATTGAATAGTCTGCGGGTACTTTTTTCAAATTTGGACAAGGCGAATGAAGGCACAGATTTCTATGGTTAGCCCACAACCGCAGTATTAATCAGCACGTCTGCTGGATTCGAACCTCTGCATCAAGGAGCGGTGAACACGCCACTGCAGGGCCACCGCCCCAAATGACCAAATCACCTGTAACCCGTTCGATCGCTCCAGATATCCAAAGCTAAGCAGGTTTGAGCCTGGACGATGTTTGGATTTGACCAACCGTGCCCAACAGGGATTGTCAGACGGTTTCCGTGCTATGTAACGAGCAGTAGGAGAGCAACGCAGCAACATCCATTGTTGTGCCGTGCGTCCACGCTCCCAGCCTTCACCAACCGGCACGGGTCCGCAAGGTCGCTGCGATGCGGCGGAACGTGGCTCGGGTGATGGTGGTGATGGTGGTGGTGGTGACGGTGGTGGTGACGGTGGTGGTGACGATGGTGGTGGTGTTAACCGCACAGGGCTGGCGAGGGTGCCACACACTGATGCGATGCCACGCTGTAGAACGCCGGCCCGGCCCGGCTCTCCCTGTGCACCGCCGGTGAAGGTTCCTCCTCTCGCAGGGCGAGTCGCAATATTTTTTATGAAGATTTTTTAGCATATTTCTTACTTTTTCCAATAACACAATAAGGCCATTTCTAACGTCATTAAAATTATTTGATTGCTTAAAAATGCGGTATTTTCTGCCTCACATAGGAACCTTAAGATAAATCTGTCACAGGAATTTCCATTGCATGTCACTGCAGGTGTTTCTAAAGCCTCTCTTTCTGTGCTGGGCAATGGGTGTTGATCACATCACGTGACAGTCTTCACAATTCGTTACTTTCCCATTCTCAGCTCCACCAGTGGGCGAATTTCATATTTGTGATTACGCGCCGTCCCGTGTTAATCACCGGCGTGGAGATGTACGATCAAATGGCTCGCACGTCGATAGATTACAAGGCCGAGTGGATGTGCTGCCTGAGTAGCCCCTCGTGCTTGTGGTACCATTGTACAATCCACGACCGTCAGCCACCACTTCCTACACAAGTAGCAATAGCCACCACTCATCCACATATACAAGTCAGTGGAAGTAACGTCATCACAGAGATTGTGCCAGGCTAGGTGCACTTGAGGCCACTTGGTGTGGTCAAGGTTGGCTGACAGGTCATGGGGCAGACCAAAGTGTCCTGAGGTATTGTGCTTTCCATCTCCACACACACAACATATGGCCTTCAAAATCAACGCAATTAGACAATCGCCCTAAATGTATTACAATACACTAATCAATACAGCCCTGTAATCGACTTTATATAATGTGCATATTCAATTTCATTCAGCGCTTGACGGAAATTTCAATTAAACACAACGATAAATTACAAAATCTAATTTTAGATCATAAAAAAACTGGGACAAAATGAATCTCCATATTGTCGCATTTGAAATACGGTGGTGGAATGTGGCGTTCATGGCAGAGGGCTGATGGTGGACGAGGGGCGGGAGAGCAAGCAGCCATCGGTGGGAGTGACACAAAGAGTTGAGCGATGAGTGGTGGTGGGAGAGTGGTGGTGGGAGAGTGGTGGTGGGAGAGTGGTGGTGGGAGAGTGGTGTGGAGAGTGAGTGGTGTGGAGAGAGAGTGCTGCTGGCAGAGTGAGTAGTGTCGAAAGTGGTAAGTGGTGCAAGAGTGAGCAATCACTGACCAGTGGTTGGGTTGTCGGAGTGAGTGGTAGTAAAGTGAGTGGAGGTGAAAGGGTGAATGATACAGCGGGTGAGTGAGTGGGATAAGAGTGAGCAATGAACAGTGTGAGCTCGTTACTCCGGGTTGAGGGGGCTACAAACTCCACCTCGGGTTTTCTAGTCGCGGGTGATAACGCGTGCAGATGGATTGAGCAGCTAGAATGCAATGGCAGTGAATTCTCAGGTGAACTGGTCAGGTGGGCACCCAACACTGGCTCATTACCACGCCGTGTTCCAATTATAAATTCGTCTCCCTGTACGCAGCCAAATGCCAGATCACGCACCCAGGTACAGAGATGACCAAATCACCTGGAACGTGCCCAATCTCATCAGATCATGGAAGCTAAGTGGGGTTGAAACTGCATAGTACTTGAATGGACAACCACCGTGCACAAGAAGGAAGTTAAACGATAACCGGAAAATTGATAACATTTTCAGATGCCATTACCGGCTACAAGAGACTGCAACAGGGAACTGTGTCCAGGGCTGTGCACGTAGACGGCACACGGAACTGAAAAACCCGAGGTGGACTCCGTTGCACCTTCCACCTGAGTCCACAGACGGCGGCCACAGACGGCGGCTGGCGACCAGAGAATACGCGGAGCCGGAGAGATTGGCCTGAAGAGGAGCACGTGAGAGAGCGCGGAGTGCCGTGGCGTGAAGGACCATAGAGGCCGTGGCCATGGGCAGCACGAAGCCACACGGAGCAATGCCACCCCGTTCTCTAGAGCTTGGCGGTGCAGGACACTTCCCGCATAAGCAGAGAAGAGTTGATGTCGGTGATGCAGTGGCAGCCTGCGCACCGCAGTAGGCAGAGACACAACGATAACACAACATCACAAGACGGAGATGAACACCGCAACTCCTCGATGGGATGTCCCAGAATGCCAAGGCAACTCCTCTTAATATGAGTGAGTGGTGGCTCAGCCGTCAGCTCCCAGTCCGCCCATCATCATTGTCATCGTCTGTTGTTGTAGGGGTGGAGTGGTGGCGTAGTGGTGAGTGCACTGCACTCCTGAACCGAAGTCCGGCTTAGAGATGCTTTACTTGGTGACCATTACGGGCCTCTCGTGCTGAATCTCGCTCCTGTCACAACATTGAGCTGTCACGAGTAGCCTGTGGCCTACGTGTGGCTTGGGTGTGAGGGGTGTAGGTGAGTGGGGGTGTGAGGGGTGTAGGTGAGTGGGGGTGTGAGGGGTGTAGGTGAGTGGGGGTGTGAGGGGTATAGGTGAGTGGGGGGTGAGGGGTGTGAGGGGTGTAGGTGAGTGGGGGTACGAGGGGTGTAGGTGAGTGGGGTACGAGGGGTGTAGGTGAGTGGGGGGTGAGGAGTGTGAGTGGGGGTGTGAGGGGTGTAGGTGAGTGGGGGTGTGAGGGGGTATAGGTGAGTTGGGTTTGAGAAGTAGCCATACCTGCAAGAGCCATTGCCAGAATAAGCTCTTCTCGAATCATGGTCAGGGCTTTTTTCACTCCCTCTTCACCCTGAAGCACACCACCACAATCACCACACACATTATCTAAACCATTGCCATCATTATCACCTATCTTGATTTTTTTCAACAAGTCATCTATTACAACACCACCATAAGCATCATCAATAGCTTTGCAGGTTTACATCATCCAGCAGTGGATCGATGAAGGGCCGTACACATACAGTGCTAGATGTGGGGCACTACCACTCGTTTTTTAAAATACAGTTGCAGAGCACAGGGCCCAAGGGCCAAAATACGTCTAGCGGCCAGCAACAAACAGCAACATCATCGAACAGAGTTCAGTTACTTTCATTTCACTTTTCTCGTTTCCCACTTAATTTTCACCCAAACTCGGTTTGTACCCAAATAACAGCTTTGTCGAGTTAAGATAATCACATCAACAATATTAAAGTATCAACATAATACTCCGCGAAATTCGTCTTACACAGGGTCGGTAGGAAAACATAAAAAGTCGAGGTTGTATCACTGCCAGTGCAACGCAAGAGATAATTTTCTCTCCAAACTTTACTTTCAGTCAGAGTTCCCTCTCGGGGTCACGAGCCGCTCGGTCTGGGGCTCGCGACCCCGAGAAGCACGCTGTGCCAATCGGGCAACGTCCCCCTCCGCTGATCAACTCCTCCCAATGCCTCTATTTGGCGACTCCTCGCGTGATAAAACGCTTGCAACACGAGGAATATCGCTCTGGCGGCCCTAATGGGGTCCGCAGCTGTACGCACTGGGTCAGGGGACCCACGGGAGACCAGGGACTCGATCCAGCAGCCAGGGTTAGAGCCGGCCCGAGAGAGCGAGCGAGGCAGCGAGAGCGAGAGGGTGGGAGAGCAAGAGAGCGAGCGAGAGAGCGAATGCGAGAGAGCACGTCCCAGAGAGCGTGCGCGAGGGCACAAGAGAGAGTGAGAGTGAGTGAGTGTAAGAGAATGAGCGTGAGAGAGTGAGTGAGTGTAAGAGAATGAGCGTGAGAGAGAGTGAGAGAGCAAAAGAGCGAGAGAGCGAGCGTGAGAGAGTGAGTGAGTGTAAGAGAATGAGCGTGAGAGAGAGTGAGAGAGCGAGAGAGCGAGAGAGCGAGCGTGAGAGAGAGAGAGAGAGGGCGAGAGAGAGAGAGACTGCGTTACGTCGGCCAGGTCTGTTCGCATCACAGACACAAAACAATTTGCCTCGTCGGAGGAAATAGAAGCAACCAAATAAGCAGACAATTGACCTCTTTCCGATATCTGTGTCACATCTTCTATACTGTATAGTTTTACATTGAACTAGAACCCATATTTAACAGATGGGGGGGGGGTTCCTTTCCTATAAATATTTGGAAGTTCATCAGCATTGCTTCAAGCAAGAACGACTCTGGTAATGAGACACTGGACGTTGAAACTGGTACAGAATTTGCTTGTGGTGAACCAATGCTGGTGAACTGGCCAATGTTTATTGACCACCACTCCTCTCTCTGTTAAATACAGGTCTTAGTTTGACGCAAAACTAAATCGTACATAACAAAATATTATAATTTGCTTTATTGAAAATATAAGTAACTCAATAATTTAGCAGACAATCCAGCTCTTTCCCATATCCGTCCCTCCACATAAACAAAATGTCTTTTTAAACACACAGTGCAAATGGAAAGGCAGCAAGGACGATTTCACATTCTTCGAGTGGCCTCTTGGGCCTCAGAAAAAGACTTCGTAGCTGGGAGGTGTAGAGAGGGAAAAGCTATCACTCGGCTCCTCCCTCCATGAGCCCTGCCCACTTTTACTTAGCCACGCCCAGTCAGCCGCGAGCACTCACCCACACGGCAGTGAGTGGCCTTCCACTCGCTCTTTCAGATGTTATAATAATACCATAATACTTATTTATCCAGGAGAGGCACACTGAGTCGTATGACTCTTTTTCAGGAGGGTCCTGCATTATGATTTTAAGTTGTTTTCAGCCAATTAATGATGAGTGTTTATACCTTGGTGGATACCAGAGCACCCAGAGAAAACCCCACACACGTGAGGAAGCAACACTCTATCCCATAACAGATGGCAGCAGATGACCATTAGTCCACTTGCTGTACTGCCTTCTCCTGGCGAGTCAGGGTATGGCACCTCGACGCCCACGGGAAGGGGAGGTTCACAACAAGTGTGCGATCCACCAGCCCCCGCTGGACTCGAGGCCACGTGCGCCACCGCTCACAGGCCCCAGCAGCTCCATGACCGGCGACGCGCTCGTCTCGTGTAGCCCCGCCCCCATCCCCGTAGCGTGACTCCAGCACGGGGCCAGGAAACTTGAAAACTGGCAAATGCCAAACTTAGTGCACACACCTCACGGGGGACACTGGGACAGACTTCCCAGAAAGCGAATCTGTCCCGGCCAAGCAGAACGTGAGTGAAGCTTCGAGAAAGGGGGTAAAAATGGGGAGCAGGGAGGGGGTGGGGGTGGGGAGCGGGGAGGGGGTGGGGGTGGGGAGCGGGGAGGGGGTGGAGGTTACATTGTACGCGAGGCCCCACAAGACGGGCCTCCCGATGAACACGGCACGGGCCCCGAGCGCCAGGGCCTTGAGCACGTCGGTGCCGCGGCGCACGCCCCCGTCCAGGTACACCTCCACCTGGCCGCCCACCGCCGCCACCACCTCGGGCAGCGCGTCCAGCTGGTCGCGGGGCACAGGGGGCAGTGGAGGGGAACTTTGTTCAATGTTTTCCCTCTGTGTGGAGATGGAACATCTCACTTGCAAGGATGTCCGTTAATGAGTCAGAGTGATTTCGTGCGGGAATGAGAATTGAGGCATACGGATAGTTACACTAATAGCTCGTGGGTAACAGAAAACCCCTTCTATAATCACACACAATATTTACGACTAACTAAACTCATTTATACCAAAAGTAGAACATTGCATTGTGGGAAGATGTATTCTTGCGAGCTCGAGGCACGATCTACCCAGCAATGCATTCCTGGGCCCAGGCCGGTAAAACCCTTCTCAAGCATTCCCGACAATGCTTAGGTGGAGAAGTCTAAGAAATCGTATGTGAGGTAAGCACACACACAAAACTAAAATAAACAAACTCAAACGATTAGTGGAGGTGCGTGTGTACCGATAGTGCTCTCGGTGTTTTGATCAGCGTATCGGTTAAAATGAAGATGCACAGAGTCGCATCTTCTCCGATGCCACTGAAAGACGATGCCTGGTGATCTACGCTGATTGCCGGAGTTCCACGTTCTGAGGTCGGGGGGGGGTTCTCAGCGAGGCGTGAAGTTCACATTTGAGCCCTCTTGAAACAAGGCGGTACTCCAAGATGAAAAGAACTTGGGCACCGATAAAAAAAAGGCCAGACGCAAGGAGGCAGTGCAAACACGATCCTCCACTGCCACCTATCTGCAGCGCCTGGCTGATGCACACAGAATCCAAAGTTTCAACCAAGTGAGCGCAAGAGTGAATGAGTGACTGGAAGATGGATTTTGTCATTATGTGAGGGAGTGAGCGATAATAAATATGATTGTGTGATGGAGCGAATGATGGAGTGAGCGAGTGAGTAATGTTTATCGATGTTACCCAAGCGAGTGAGTGAGTGGTGTAACTCACTGTGGCTGCGACTCCGTCCAGCTGCCGAGCGCCGTGGTTGGACACCACGATGCCGTTGACTCCATGCCGCACCGCCTCCTTCGCATCCTCGGCTGCTCAGTACAAACAACAGCGGCAGCACCAATAACCACGGTCCGCCACCAAGCGAAGGTGACGTCACTGCGGCACTCGTGCCAGGTTACGTGCACTATGAGGCCACACACGCAGCAGATCACAGTGTACACACACGCACACGTGGTGCAAGTGCAGCAATAATGATCAGCGTCGCAATGTAGATATTTGCTAACGCATTGGTTATAACGATGACGGCAGTGATAAATATTGATCATGTCGACCATTATGACTACGCCGATGATAGTGATGAGGACGATGCTGATGTTCACGACTGCCACCCCAGCCATGGCCCCGTCGTTTGTGGCATTTGCCGCCCGCATGGACGGTGGCCCCCCACCCATGCCAGGCGCCGCGTGCCTGTCAGGATGCCTTTGAGCACCACGGGCAGGGCGGTGAGCGAGCGCAGCCACGACACGTGCTCCCAGCTGAGGCCCGGCTCGATGGCGCGCGTCACGTACGCCGCGAGCCCCGACCCGCCTCCGCCACTCTGCGTGTCCAACTCCGACAGCTCGGGCGACGTGAAGTTGGCCAGCCTGGGTGGGTGGGTGGGGGGGGGGGAGCACAGCGCGACGCTCACCCGTGGGGGCACCTAGGCCCCCTGCGTGCAGCGAGCCAGCACCAGTGGGGCTCACGCCACAACCCGAGCTGCCGAGCGGGACAGAGGGTGGCACACGTCGTTGAAGATTGTGCCCACGAACGGAGATCAGCAGTGACCCGAGGACAACGCCGCATTCTGCAAACAGTGAAGCCGCCGCCTGACTTGGAGCGAACGCACGAGCTAAATAAATGGGGAACCTAAGACTGGAATTCGCACGGCCCTCGCCGACACAAGGCCTCCGATGTCAAAACGCCTTGCAAACTTGGAATCGAGATTTTTGCAGCCACGATTAAAATTCATACTTCAAATCTATCTGCAGTATGACCGCACGTGCGTGACTTCAGCAGTGCGGGAGCGTAACACGACGGGAAAGTTAGCCGCGAGTGTCGCTGGACCGCTCACAGCGTACAGTGGTGCACGTCGCTGACTGGAGACTCGCAGCAGCAGTAGTAGAATGCAAATCAGCAGCAGTAGAATGCAAATCAGCAGCAGTCTGGTTCATCAAACGTCATATGTCATCAGGGTCGCCTGATATCCTTTAAGCGTCCTTCAGGCCGAGTGGGTCTATTTATTAGTCACCGCAAGCATCTAAGCCACACTAATCAGGTACTCAATGAGAATATTTTCAAATTGAAAACGTGTTTCCAATTTAACTTGCGCAGTCACTTCCGTCACGACAAGGGCCTATTGTAGGTACAGAAGTGAGTGCGGTGTGTGGGTGTCAATGCGGTGTGTGGGTGTTGATTCGATTGTTCACCCATGATTCTCAAGACCAAGATGCCGTAATTTGGCCAGAGCCAACTGATGCTACACCTGTTGGGCAGTTGCCAATAGACCTCCCAGATCTGCCCTGACAGTCTCCCACCATTTGGCCTAAGGTCTCTCAAGAAGATAATTGCTGTCAAGGTAGCAGATGATGACAATGATTATGACGATGGTGATAATGATGACAATGTTAATTAAATGTTGCCAGCGATGATAATTTAACAATGACAATTTAAGAATGACAACTCCTATGAGCAATTTTCCACATCGATGACCCCCCCCCCCCGACCACGACTCCCCTTCCTGCGAGTCACCGGTGCCCCCAGTGCCTCCGGCCCATGCCACCCCCGCCCTCCCCCCTGAGTACCGCAGGTGATCGGGCATGGAGAAGCGGTTGCGCTCGTCGGCGAGGCGCCGGCCGGGCCGCGGCGTGTCCACGGTGAGGAAGATGGCGCCGTAGCCCTCTCGCTCCGCGCGCCGCACCAGCGCCTCGGTGGCGTCGCGGTCCCGGTACACGTAGAGCTGCAGCCAGCGCACAGGAGGGGGGGCGCCGCTGCTCGGGACGGCGGCCGCCACCTCCTCCACGCTCGCCGTCGCCCACGAGCTCAGCTGCATGCCCGTGCCGAGCGCAGCGCACGCTGCAGGGACCGCGGAGGCAATGGGAGCGGCGGTGAACACGACGTCCCCCACAGTGCCCACTCTCAAGGGGCACTACCAGGGCAGGAGCCCACCTGGGAGCGGGCGCTGTGCGTACGCCACTCGTTTAGGTGATTTCTCAGAAAGGAAGAACCGAGTCGACAACCCCTGACCAGGATCTGAATTTGCAACCTTCTTGACCAGCATCAGCAATTGATATCAACAATAACAGTGATGATTCAGAATGTTTTTGTTCACTCTGAGAGAGAATGATCCAGGTGTGAGAATCCACAGACAAGCCGATAGGCAACCAGAAGCAGCACCAACAACTGCCCAAGCACTCTGGTCCTGTATCGGGATGTTTACTTCTATATGTTGAACTTCTTTAGTAGCCCACTGTGCTATCCAACCTACTCACGCGTATTACTCGCAGGAGGATACCAGCGTACGCGGAAAAAAAAACGTGTGTGAGTGGGGTAACACCCCGTCACTGTACAAATGGAATAGAGATGGAAATGGATCTACTTGCTGTACTGCTACGACGACGGCTAAAGTGACGGCGAAGACGACGACGACGACCCGCGATGCCTGCCCGGGCGCTCACCACGCGCCGTCGCCAACTCCCCGTCCGGGTGGGCCATGCGCTGCATCGCCGTGGGCGCCACGGCCACGGGGAAGCTGAGCGAGCGGCCCAGCACCGAGACGCGAGTGTCCACCGTGGTGACCCCACGCAGCGCACGTGGCCGCAGCCGCCACCTGCGCGTCGCACAGCGCGGGAGGTCGCGAGATTTCAACTTCACTGCTGCTGTCAAATTGCAGCCTTTCCCTGCAAGCAGTGAGGTGAGCGAGTGAGCGAGTCGGACTGAGTATATTTTTAAGTTAATGTATACAGAGCCCAAAGGCCCATTACATCACGATTATAAAAGTAGTAATCGTTGAGAGTTAACACGTTTATTGAATTGAGTGAGGTTAATATAAGAGTTTGGGGAAAGAGACGATGGGAAAGAGTGGAGCAGAGCAAGGAAAGAAGCAGATACAGAAGTGTTGTGACCTAGTGTGGTGAGTGGGTGAGTGGGTGGGTGAAGGAGTGTGTGGGTGGGTGAAGGAGTGGGTGAGTGGGTGGGTGAGTGGGTGGGTGGGTGAAGGAGTGTGTGGGTGGGTGAAGGAGTGGGTGAGTGGGTGGGTGAGTGGGTGGGTGGGTGGGTGAAGGAGTGTGTGGGTGGGTGAAGGAGTGGTTGAGTGGGTGGGTGAGTGGGTGGGTGGGTGGGTGAAGGAGTGTGTGGGTGGGTGAAGGAGTGTGTTGCCGTGACCTGCAGTGTGGTGAGTGGGAGGATGAGTGGGTGGGTGAGTGTGTGGTGAGTGGGTGGGTGGGTGAGTGTGTGAGTGGGTGGGTGAGTGTGTGGCGAATGGGTGAATGGGTGGGTGAGTGTGTGGGTGAGTGTGTGGTGAGTGGGTGGGTGAGTGTGTGGTGAGTGGGTGAGTGGGTGAAGGTGTGAGTGGGTGGGTGAGTGTGTTAGTGGGTGGGTGGGTGTGTGAGTGGGTGGGTGAGTGTGTGGTGAGTGGGTGAGTGGGTGAAGGAGTGTGTGAGTGGGTGGGTGAGTGGGTGGGTGAGTGTGTGTTGGTGAGTGTGTGTGTGGGTGGGTGGGTGAAGGTGTGTGTTGCTGTGACCTGCAGTGTGGTGAGTAGGTGGGTGGGTGAGTTGGTGAGTGTGTGGTGAGTGGGTGAATGGGTGGGTGAGTGTGTGAGTGGGTGGGTGTGTGGTGAGTGGGTGAGTGGGTGTGTGAGTGTGTGGTGAGTGGGTGAGTGGGCGAAGGAGTGTGTGAGTGGGTGGGTGAGTGGGTGGGTGAGTGTGTGTGGGTGAGTGTGTGTGTGGGTGAAGGAGTGTGTTGCCATGACCTGCAGTGTGGTGAGTGGGTGAGTGAGTGGGTGGGTGAGTGTGTAGGTGAATTAGTGTTTTGTCGTGACCTGCAGTGTGGTGAGTGGCTGGGTGAGTGGGTGGGTGAGTGTGTGGTGAGTGGGTGAGTGAGTGGGTGGGTTAGTGGGTGGGTGAGTGGGTGGGGAGTGGATGAGTGGGTGCGTGTGTGTGTGGGTGAAGGAGTGTGTTGCCGTGACCTGCAGTGTTGGCAGCGGTTTGACACAGCGTGGATCAGACGAAACGATCAGTGTCAGGTAGCCCTCGTCATGGGTGGAGGATGCTCACGCGAACAGACACGACAGGTGTTTCAACTTCATTATAACTTGTGCTTTGTACAGCAGCAGCAGTGTGTTGTCCCGCTCAGTGCATGACGTGTTTGCGTATGCATCGCATTGTTCATCACGGAGCGTGTGTTCTCTGGGCTGTCTGAAGGGTGAGCGGCACTCCTCCACCTGGAGAAGGCCGCCACGTTGTCCCGGAGCGTGACCTCGCCGTCGGCCCCGGAGCGGTAGTAGTCGTAAACGGCGCGCGGAAGCTTCGCCCGCGCCGCCTCCTCCAAGTCGTCCAGGCACACGGGCGCCGGCGAGCTCATGTCGACGGCAAACGGCGGCACTGCAATGGGCCGAGAGGAGGGCGATGTGGGCCTCAGTGGGATCAGCATACGGCCAAACGAGATGCTATCCCTAGCCCTAACCACGCTGACCAATCAGATCCCAGCCCTTACCTTACTCGTCAATTACATTATCATTGTCCTTGCTACACTGTCGAACAAAACCATTACCATTGTCCTGCCATTTACCCAACAATTCGGTAACACTGAGGATAGCAGCACCTGATGCTCGTACAGATAAGGCGACCAATCCTACAGAGAAACAAATCACAGTCATTTGCTGCTCGAATCTTCTGTTTCCAGCCCTGAGCCAGTGGTGGGAATTCCACATTACTATGAAGAGTTTAGGTCTATCCATAGGACAACACTTTACTTCCCCACAAATCGAAGCAGTAAGTATTTAACGCGGTATCAGCATTAAGTGAAAATCGCGTTAAGCGAAGAGAACTCCCCATAAATAAAGTAACGATAACGTTTGGCGAGATACAATGTGCGCACACGCAGTAAGATAGCGGGACAAATCACTGAGGGTACACCGCCGCATTGCTGCACCGCCACATTACTGCACCGCCGCATTACTGCACCGCCGCATTACTGCATCGCTGCACCGCCACATTACTGCACCGCCACATTACTGCATCGCTGCACCGCCACATTACTGCACCGCCACATTGCTGCATCGCTGCACCGCCACATTACTGCACCGCCACATTACTGCATCGCCACATTACTGCATCGCCACATTACTACATCGCCACATTACTGCACCGCCGCATTACTGCACCGCCACATTACTGCACCGCCACATTACTGCATCGCCACATTACTACATCGCCGCATTACTACACCGCCGCATTACTGCACCGCCGCATTACTGCATCGCCACATTACTGCATCGCTGCACCGCTCAGACGCGCCGCTCAAGAAAGTCATCGACTGCTCAGAAACCGCGTTATAAAAGGGGGACGCGTTCCGCGCTGTTCCCTAATGGAAGAACCACATTTTAGGTAAACCGTGCGTTGAGTTGCCGTACTAATGGGCTGAGTCAACCCCCAACCAGGGGGTTTAACTTAATTTCCAATTGTGAGCCACTCTGCCGGTATACTGATTGTTGTTTCCTTGAAGAAATCAACTGCGTGAACCGTATTTTAATTTGAAGAAAGTAATCATGAAGGTAAAATAAAGCATGTTATCGGATTATTGCTGCACGCAAGATGACAAACTTCGGTGAGGCTGGCCGCAACACCACAAACGTGCACAGTCGAATCCTTGATCTCAGCGCTCCTGCCCAATGAAGCAGCCTCGGGCAAGTTTGTCAGATAAGAAACAAATACCATGGTAATGTGGAATTCCCACCACCGGATCTGCATAGCCACGAGTGGAGATGAGCATTGACCCAAGGGCCCAACTGAGCACTTTGGCGTGCAGTGAAACCACCAGTGATGGGGAACCGAAGGGCTCACAAGTGACGCCATCACATATAGCCCTCTATTTAAGGAATGAAACAGGATTCCTCCACAAATCTGGCTGTCGCCTGATGAAGCTAGTTGTAATTACTGGCGAAACGTCGTACTCGCATTGTAAATGTTGTGGCTTTGCTATCCAACACACCGGTTAGTGCTGTACTAGTGACGAACTGGCTACGTTCTGTTTAGGTGACCTTACTAATTAGCTGTCGGGTGGTGGCGGGTTTAACAACTCATTTACGCTAACCCAAAAAAATTACTGTATTATGAAGTGGTCACATTTGAGAAGTACAATTCTCAGCACTGCTCAGCCATGCGCGGTGCACTCACTCACCACCTCGACAAGAAGAGCAGTGGCAGACGCAGCGGAAACGCAGCGGGGTCGTCGTCGTCAAACGCGTCTGTGCCTCTCTCCCTGCTCCCAAAGGGCCTCGATGGGTGCTGCTTCATCAGCAAATTCCAGCACAGGGGGCGTCGGCTATTCATTAACTTCCACAAGCAAACAAGTGTATCATGGACAGATTTAATGAGAAACAGACTACACACAATCCAGAGCAAAATCCTCTCACTGTGCTACGGTTTGGTCCATGAAACAAAATAAGAATACGCGTCATTGTGGAGAATGCAAGAAAGGTAATAAATAATCAGGCAAGTCGTCTCCGAATGATATCGGCCCCTCCACATAGACAAAGTGTTTTTAACACCACATCAGCCACACGGCTTTCTGCACATTATTAACATTAGCAGCTTTGATTTCATCGAAGCAAACTCTGGACCAGTTTCCACATTCAGTGTCTCATCAGCAGTCGGGGACTTGCTTAAACCAATACCAGTGAACTGCCAGAAGTTTAAAGACAAATAACCTCCGAGATATGGGTCCTCATCAGGGCGACGTAACTTGTTGTTAACGTGAGGAACTCTTGCACCGGGCGAAGTGCCGTGGCACGAGTTTGTGATGCGACAGTTGGTTGCCGAGGTGGTCAATGAGATGGCAAAATAACATCGATCCTCACACCCAAGTACCTCCGATTAGTACAGTTGCAAAGAAGTTAAACAAATATCGTCTCTACTCTTCTTGTGTGTGACACGTTCCCTTTGGTCATTTCCCTCAAACCGCACGACTTTTAAAGTCCCTCCTATTCTCATTTCCGAAGCTCAATTCAAGAACGTGGCGACTCTTGACCTTGCACAACCTCGATACTGCTGCTTGTTGCTGGCCACTTGACCTTTTGGGCTTCAGCTCAACAATCGTGTTAAAAAAGAGACCGCCAGTGGCCCTCGTGAACTCTGTATTAAATTATATTCCTAGCTACGATGGCTGCAATCCGTTCAAAAACCAAATACCAATGTTAAGATCTGTTGGTCACGACGAGGGCTTCAGGGGAGATAGTTCGTGTAGTTTTGCGATTCCTCCTCCTCCGTTGAAGCAGTGCAGACGACAGTGGCTTACACTCTGGTCCATAGTAAAGAAGCACCAGGAATGATGTTGTCAGCTGAGTGAGGCTGCTGTTCACCACTGGCTTTTATTGTGCTCTCAAACTCTTCAATGTTTTCTTATGAAACCACCACACAAGCAGAGTTAACGATTGACAAATTCCCTGCATGTCTCCAGCACGTAAACTCTAGAAGCAAACATGAGGCCACTGCAATCAGCTGTGAACAGCTGTGATTATGTGCCATAAATGTCAATTCAAGCCCATTACGCTTACAATCCTAAATGGAGTAATTCAAACTCAATGAAGCATTCCTGGTTATATATAAAAAAACATTCCATGCCTTAAATAATGTCCTATAAAACACAGGCAACAGGTCCTTTATTATTGTTTATTATGAAATGTGAGCAAATGAATTGGTGCATTACAAGCATGGGCTAATCAAAGGGTGTAACACTTTAATGTCGGTACAGGAAATGTGTCCATTCTGTGTTTTAAATTTAAAATCTTACTGAGAATGATTTTCAGTTCCCAAGATGCCACCCCTTTTAGCCAGGGGGCCTTTCCCGTCGAGCACGATGCACCGACACCCACTGTACTACCGTGCTTCTCCTGCATGACATATTTTAATGATTCATCTTAATATTGAAACTTTCCTCACGAAACAGTCTACGGGGAAGGAAATCATATATGCAGGGATATGTATTTTGCCAAATATGCCAAACATTGCATTTCTTCATGATGAAAGGGATGAGCAGAGAAGATTACTGGAGATGCAGAAATGTAACAGATTTTCACTTCATTGCAGGCAGTGACCAGTGCTGCAAAACTGTGATATTCTTAATTTTAGTAATGTGAGAACTTCAGAAGAATTCATATACACCTTCATGTAACTGCCATACCTTCCCGTAACTGAAAAGCACTTCCCCAGTGGCTATTACCTGTCGTGCGGCATAGTGAACATTCCACTGTAGACCACAAAGCATGCTAGGCAGTCGTCTGAACTCATCACAGAATTGATTATTTGCTTAAAAAAAGTATTGTAACATGTCAGAGCACAGAAGAAAACTGACTCCAAATACACGGACATTCAAACGAAAGAGGTCAATGGTTATTGGTTTTGAGTTACTCGGGAGTAATGCCACATTCGTAAAGCTTGGCTTAAATTTAATACTTCCCATCAACCTCGTCAAGTGATGTTCACTTGACCACTGCCCATTGCATGGTCACACAGGAGGTAGAAACGCGAAACACCAAGCAGCCAAAGTGATTGCCACTCAGCTATAATGTTCTTTCAGTTGCTTTTCCAATGCTATACGATGACGATGCTCTAGTAACCATTGTCTAGGTATAAACGCAATGATTTACTCCTGGAAGGTTGCCAACACACAGAGCCACTGCAACCATCAGGCCTTTGGAACCATCATCATATGTCCTGGGACAATTGGGCCCAATTAATATCCTCTCTGCGTCTCTCTGGCTCCCGTGTCCTTCTACTTGTGTGCAGCATCGCTAAGCACTCGTTGTAACTTGTCTGTATCACTGCAGTCTTTACCTCATCTCCCCAAGTTTGTTTTCACTGCCAGAGATTTCCTTATTTCATGGTATTTCAGTTTGAGGTTTAGAAACTCCTAGAATCCTTCTCAGCAGCCAGGCGATTCACACCACGAGACTATTAAACCTGAAGGTGGAATCCGGGTCAAGGTGTGAACCCTCCAGTGTTGTATTCCAGGATCACGCGGTGACCAGTAATCGCGTAGTTTGACGATACCACAGACAGTTCAAATGGAGGGCTCACCATAGGCAGGGCTCCTAGCAAGCTGTGAACAAAATTATACAGCACTGCTTGGAGCAGCTGTGATGGTTGAGCAACTTAAAACTATTCTATTTCATGTGCTGGTTTCCTCGAGCCATGCCAGTTTCTTCCCTCATAAAAAAACTCGAAAACAATAATTGGTCATACATCCCAAAGCAGGATCATTCTGAAAAGGGTCTTGAAAATCTGCGAGGATTTCCTGGATAAATAACAGACAATATTATCACGATTATAAACACATGAACAATTTCAGAAATAATACAAGTCGCAACAATGCTCTTAGCTCAAAGATATATTTTTACGGGAAAAAGAAAACAAACGACACCAAGACTATAAACCAAAACAAGACACTAACGATCCATGTAAACAAAGCACAGCCTAAAACACTCGAGTCTATAAATCCTTCTGTCGCCTTGCTCCATCTCATCTTGCTTCTCTCTCACATCTTACGACTCTGTCACATCCCCTTCTCCCCACTCCCAATCTCTACTGGCCCTCTCTGTGCCTCCCTCGCCCTGCGCACAGTCCACGCTTTCGTTCATTTTCCCTTCTTGCTCCCCTTCACTGGAACGAACTCCCAATGCACATAAAACAATCAACTTCACCGACCTTCTTCCGTTCAACCCTTAAAATCCACCTCCTTTCCCTTGCATATCCTAGCGCTACTGCCTGCCCCCACCCCCAGGTACGACCAGGCCTTCCCCAACCCCCATCACTCACTACCCCTACTGCCTGCCCCCACCCCCCAGGTACGACCAGGCCTTCCTCAGCCCCTCCTTAACCACTCCCACCTGTCCTCCTGTCACTACAACTACACCACTTTTAATAACCCCAGTGTTTATTTTAACCACTATCTTATGTACAATATTATAATTGCTGTAAAGCGCCTTGGATTAAGGCGTTATATAAATCTATGCAAGAGAAGATGCCCTCCAGAGCTCCGAGAGACAAGCCACTGTAACAAACCAACGAGGACATCAACTATACAAGCAGTCATGGTGCTCATCCTGCCACGTGGCGCGCACTGCCTACGATCAATCCCATACTGTATTGGATATTGCCCATTTCATTTTACCTTGGAACTCCCGCACTCACATTCAGCAAAGCGCATTGATAAAAACAACACAAGCGACGTACAGTGGGTCACGACGGTTGGTAAACATGCTCCATGTGACAGCAAAGGCCCCGTGGACATTAAACTGAACACGGCTATGTTCACAACTGTGGTGCTCACCAACAACCTCGCAAACGCGAGTTAAGCACTCCGATCACAGCAGCGCCACTCGGCCAGATGACCTGCCCTGACGACCCATGTACTCATCAAAAATATGAATGTGTTTGCGTCATGAGCCCCTCAAACGTGCGTGCTTCATGGGGCCGCTGTGCACGCGCTGCATATTCGCTCTGATGAAGCGAGCGAGGTACCGTGTGCATTTCCCAAGACGCTGTGCTGCCGTAAACACCTTTAACCTTCGCGTGCAACAATTCACATATCACAGATTAACGAGGAATGTGCTTACATGCATGTTACACAGCGAGCATCACCCAGGTACATGCAAAGCAAGCGGAAAGGCGTAACTTGTGGTTTTCCATCATAGAAACACGCAAATGTGTGTACAAGTGTCACTGCGTGTTTGCTATGTGTCAATTTATGTTATTGTTAACAAGATGTTTATCTCAAGAGATTATCCAGGTAAAATATATTAATACAAAAAATACTGAAAATAAGAAGTTAAACTGCCACACACACTTAGCAAGCCACGTCAACTACAAAGAAACTCACTCCATTAGCACTTATGTTAAAATTCATATCATTCAAAACAATCTATGTTTTCTACCTGCAGTTTACCAAACAAACGGCATTATAATGATGGTGTTGGTTCCATGATAATCATATCTGTAACTTCCCAAGACAACAGGAAGCTGTCAATGTCTAAAAACAAGCGCAATGTGCAAGGCTTACCAAAACACACCGACCGTGTCTCTATGATCACGAGCGAAACAATTGATGCCATGCAAGCAGTAACCGATGACATCAAGAGCCAGTGCTGTGTGATAGAAAAACAGACAGATCTGCCAGTTTTCTCCCAAACTCTAGCAATCACTGATCGGGTTCTGGAAAATACTTAACGCCTTCGTCAATGTAACATAAATCCAACTCCAACTGTCACATGCAACCCAGTAACACAAAACGTGACGACAGCGGTGTAACGGCCAAGTGTATAAATGCAGGACACCAGTGACTTTAGGCACCACCACAGCCACACTTCGGTGCAACAGTAGTTCCTAAGGATCCATTCAGGCGGTGAAAGTCTTCCGTAGAGACATGCGTCAGTGTCCAGGCTATATTTTAGCATGGTTTTGTAAAAGAGGGCAATTTGCTATGTCAAATCCCAATTAAGTAACTTGAAGGTAATTTGTATGCACTGGAATGTTTGGCCAATACTAGGTAAACTGTATGGGCTTATTTCAGCTATGGGAGAAAAAAGGAGGAAACCCATGCAGAGCAGGGGGAGAACTCCACAGAGAAGGGCGCCAGTCAGGAATCGAAACCAAGACCTCCTTGCTGTGAGGCACAAGTGTTACCGCTGTGCCACCCCTCAACTCCCAGCACCACTGCATATCAGCAGCACATGGCATGTGAATCATTCTTGGGCCTCCCCTTAATAGTCCTTTGTGTATCTGATGAGTGTGGTGAACAACAGCACATAGTGACGGTCACACCACTTCCTCATGTGCAGTACTGGCACCATTGCCACTGTTGAAAACGGGGTATCGTTGCATATCTTAAATAAAAGTTTAAATACATTTCTATTACACAGTTGTGAAACAAATACATTTCCGGTATGACTGAAATTGGTTTCACAATGTTAAATGCGTAATTCCGATATGATGTAAAATTCCCATTGCACTTATGCATCACATGCACGTGCACAAACAAGCAATATTCTGACTGGCCATTGACAAGTGCGGAACTTATCCGTGGCACAATCTAAAGGTAATATATGTTGAGCAATATTGGGCTATTTACTTAATCAAAATGCAACTGTAATCAATCGACATTGGACTGACTATCCAGGTTGTTCACATTACACGTGAGCCTTAAGGCCTAGATACACCGTGCACAGCAATCAATGGGGAGCATTGCTATCAAAGGAAGCCACTATTGACACTTCTGTATCACGACCCTTCCAATGCTCTAAGGCTTGGTGTGTTTGCACCAAAGAAATGTGTGCGTGTGGATATACACTGGTGTCTAAGAGTGTGCGATTGCGTGATTCTACGTATCGTATAATTCATAATAATTTTGTCGTGAGATTATTTCACTATGTGAAAATACACAATCTACAGCAACATAACCAAATGATATCTATAGTTACATGAATTTATAGAATCTATTGTGGTGTAAATCTATAGAATCTACACTTATGTTAATCTACACTGATGTAGCAGTGTGAGTCAGTAGGATTTATAGTGGCTGTGAATTGCAGCACGATACATTCTGTAGTATTTCACCTCAATAAGTTTACGATCGGTTCAGTCAAATCCGACAAAATCCGAATGGACCCCCCATTGATTGCACCAACAATTTAAAGTGTATCTAAGCCTAGATTTGAAGCTTTCGTGACTGCAAGGATTCATATTCTTAGGTTTTTTCGGTAAAGTCACGTAGGTAAAACATCAAAATTAATGAAAATAAAATTTAAAAAAACAAATCACGACGTTTTGGAGGCAACACAAGTCTCCGTCATCAGGTGGGACCGTCACAGCCGAATTAGCTGCATCAAGTGAGGCAATGATTCAAGATGTAATCCCTTATAAGCAAGTTGAAGGGGGGAGGAGAGGGGGGGGCTCATCAGAATGTGGTAGCCAATGAATGGAAACGTATCGGGAGGGAGGGGGGCGGGGCTCAAAGATAGCACGGAGTGCTCAACACATTGGGCAGAGAGGGGGAGGGGAGGCCTGATACACATGAAAGACAAGAACGAAAATGACGGTCCCACCTGATGACGGAGACTTGTGTTGCCTCCGAAACGTCGTGATTTTTGTTTTATTTTATTTTCATTAATTTTGATGTTTTACCTACGTGACTTTACCGAAAAAACCTAAGAATATGTATCTAAGCCCTTGCCTACCTAGGCGCATTACCACATTCCTATAGTACGCCGGCGATGTAAATGCAGGGGATAGAGGGCTGGGGGTGTTGAGCTGGGGTCTAATAGGCGCAATGAAAGGGTGTGATCCAGCACACCACTCACACAAGCCAAGCAGATGGATACAATTCCACTCGAAACGCCTCCCCAAGCCCCGTTCTTTAAGGCTCCTCCAGCCCCTGGGCCCCGGGCTGTGGCCGTCGCATGCGCAGCGTGGCCCCAGCATCTCCGGCGCCATCATCCAACTGCCCAACTTCTTCCTCTGAGCTGGCAGGGTCCCCGTCCTGGACGCCAATGTTCCCATCCTCCGTGTCCGAGGCCTGACTATCGCCGTTATCAACGATTTCATCTCCCTGTCCGCCGAGTTCAACTCTTTCGACCTCATCTTCTGCTTGGCCTTCAGAAGCATTCTCTTCTAGAAAAAAACACACAAAAGTAAAACTGCAGTTTGCCACAAAACCTCAAAGGACACGAAAAAGGCCTTGTGCTGAAGTGTTTGTGAACAAGTACAGTCAGCACAGCCAGCCTAGTGGAGGAGCACCTTTCACAAGCCGCGACGCCCCCCCACCCCCCCCCCCCCCAGATAAATCTCACTCGACGCAGCTGGCCAGTAAAGACGACACTATAATCTACAGCCCCAGCCACACCCTGGGGTAACGCACGCTCTCTTTCATTAATTACATAGCAGATTGTCACCATTATTTAGCCCAGAACCAGGTTGGATGCACCTTTTCCTAATTGAGAAATCCCAGAGAAGCTTTCCATTAGCCTCAGCCTTTTGTTTCCCCAACTTAGAACCGGTTATGCCAGTCAATCAGAACCATGAAACAAGTGCCCAACCACTTCGGACTTTTTCATCGGGGTCACTTCCTTATTGAGTGTTTTTTTCCAGGCCAGGTACGTTCTGTCCATCCCATTCGTGGGGTCGCCCTCCCGGCTGGCCCAGTGGGTTCACCAACACCCTGGCAGAGACCTCGACGTGGCCGACATTGCCACCGACATCCAATTGGATGCTGGGTCCTTGTCGACTTGGCGATTCTGATGATGGGGTGAAACCGAGATATGCAACTCCCTTGTGTTCAAGATACGCAACCCTCAACGAATTATATCAATACAACTACACTAACGTTGTGTTAGGTGTTACATGCATTGTGGAGCATATGTAATGCATATGTATACATTTAACAATACAATTGTTATTGAATACTTTCTTGTAGTTAATAAGACTATGACCAAATCGCTAGGTATGCATCAGATCTCAGAAGCCAAGCCAGTAGAGCCTGGATAGCACCTGGATGGACAGTCACCATGCACAACAGGCTGCTGTGGAGCTACGTGGTGAGCAGCAGAGCGCAGTGACATGTATTGTTGTACTGTACCTTCAACGGTCCACCAACATCTACACTCCTCGCCATCACCAACCCGCACAGACCAGCACGGCCAAAACACGCCCACGCCCCAGACGGCGCGAGGAGGCTCTCCAACGAGTGCCTTTCTCTCTTGAGCGACACCACAGCCCCTCAACATTCACTTCACGCCAGATGGCGTACTCTCACAATTCCTTGCGACGGTTGCACAAAAAAACAACTTGCTACGATGCTAAATTTGACCCACTGGCAGGCTCACTGAAGCTATGCTCTCTCAGCTGGCTTACTCTACTGAATCTTAGAATTAAAATTAATGCTGAGATCTGTAACATTGCACCTTCCTACCGATGTCCAGCCATTTTCAGCTTCCCACTGATTACCTTTCTCGGAGGGCACCAGATGTTTCCGTTTCGGCTGGAATAGGAGGTCAACGAGGAGGATGAACACCTGCAGCCAAGCACGTGCACAGACGCACATACACGATGAGAACAGCCTCCATCTGCAACTCGGCGGTAGTGACGTTGCTACGGATCTTTTTCCAGGCGAGGTGCGCTTTGAGGTCACGTGGAGTTGGGAAGGGTTATGGAATGTCGCAAAAGAGACCAAGATAAATTGAAGATTACTTGTTTAGCTTACAGCCCAGTGCTGTTAGCAAGTAGCGATTAGGGTCAGCACGATACACAAAGCAGTGGTTTGGCAGGCACCATGTCTGGCCACCATCATCGACACCCTATTGCTCATGTGTACACACGACCCTAGGCTGTTAATTAAGGCTGAGCTGACCAAGTTGACGCCACAAATTCAGACACTAATTGTTACGAATGTTATTCTCATGGTAGAAGATGGAATCCAAGTCATAGTGGAGCAGTGAACCTCTGCAGCACTACTCCTCACGGATGCTACCATCGGTCATATTTATATGCCATCCTCCACAGATCAATCCCTACACTGTTACTCCCAGCCTGCAGCACTATAGCACTACATGGGAAGCACCATTTTCAGACCTACTCTACTCACTGATGTGCACACGTATCAATGAAGACACTACAACACGTGCGCATTAATTTTGACATGTAAACTCACTTCATGTGCCACAAGTGTGATGAATGGGGTGTGAGGTGCATCAGACTCGAACGAGCTGCCCAGTACATGCAGGCAATACTACACGAGTATGGTATCAAATCAAATAACCTCAAACTCAATCTGTGGGCTGTGGTACAAAGGTGTGGTACAGAGAATGTGAGGGATATGGTTTGTGTGAGGTGTGCATTAAACAGGTGAGTTGTGTATGGCAAGGGAGAGGATGTGGTGCGTTCCGGCTGTGCCATACACGTGGCGCCAGCGCGTATCCCTCACCAGACCGAGGCACAGGCCCAGCAGCAGCGTTGCCAGACCAAACACCACATAGGAGCCCCACGTGGGGAGGCCCAGCGTCTCCGTCAGCCAGCCGTGCATTTGCTGGACCACACACACACATACACACGCAAAGATAGAATGCGCCGACTTTTTGTCTGGACTGCCAGGCCAAATATTCTTAGCAAGCATCTACTATGGCTGCCATCGTGGGTCAGCACCGTGTACATCCCTTGGTCACCTTTGTCCCCCACTCCACACCAAGCACTCAATTTAGGCCGAGTCAAACTAGGCAGGCACATACTCCTCTAAGATACTTATTGCCACTGGTTTGTGTGCGTGGGGCTAGGAATGTAGCAGGATTTCATTGCATTGTGGTACAGAACATGCAAACTCCATGTACCATTACATGCAGCCACAGATTTTCACACCCCAATAAATTACACATTGAATAAGGATTCAAAAAGATCACCCATTTTACTTACAGCACAGAAAAGAATGAGACATAAATATTAACTCAATCTATAACAACTCACTCTTCAGATCATTAAGAGTATATTCATTTGAATTAAATCATAAAACCAAGACAAGGCTGCACGAGACACACACAGAGACAAGGCTGCCAGAGACAGGGCAACAAAGGACGAGACTACATGAGACAGTGTCAAAGGGAGGCAGAGGGAATAAATAAAAACGAGACAGTTTAACAGAGAGAAAGAACGACTACACCAGAAATACGTTATTATATAAAGGCAAAAGGACACTTAAGTAGACACAAGCCCATATATATATAGACAGAAGGCAGACACAGGAATGAGAGGGACAAGAAGCCTCACCCGAATCCACATGGAGAGCTGGAAGAGCCAGGACATCCCTGTCATCCTAAAGGAGAACCGGGCGGCACTTGCTGGTTACGATACAGCAAATCGATTAGTGCCGAATAAATCGTTTTAAATTTATATCGTTGACGAATTGTACGTAATCAATAAACAGTTATTATTAATTAATTTGAGAGGTCACTTGATGTTTAACCTAATTTTATGTTATAAAGTCCACGTGTCTCCCTACAAATAGGTGAGTGCCTGACTGTGTGAGTAAATGAGCAAGTGAATTACTGAACAAACCGAGTCAGTGAGAATACCCGAGTGAGTGAGTGAGCGAGCGAGCGATTAAGCAAGTGAGAGACCGAGTGAGCCAACTGCTGAGTGAGGCCACGTACAGAATGGACGGAGGCGCTTTCCACGCCGACACAGGAGTCACCTGCTCCCACTGGCGTGCCGACACGAAGCGGCTTAAGTCCGCCGCTTTCCTTGGACCCGAGAACTGACGGAACTCTCCATCGCGCACACTGATGTGGCAGGTCCACACGTTTAACACACACACACACACACATCGATGGACAGACACAGACCTTCATTATTACAAACGCATACACAGCAATTACAAACACAGACATGTACAGAGCCCCACATATACACATTCAACAGGGCAGAATTTGCACTAAGTGGTGATGACACCACGATGATCCTTTTGCAGGCTTGTGGAATTGCAAATCCTCTCTGGCAGGTCATGTGACTGATGGAAGTGTTATGGGCTGAAAAACCAAGGTGACTGAAATATGCATCATCTGCAGTCCCCACTCTGTCAACTTGCTGTGTTTTAGACACTCAACCTGTGCGTACACAATAATCCCTGTTTGAAATCCTAGACTGTTGGGGCACGTGGTATAGGTGAGCACCACTTAGGATTAGCATTGCACACAAGACCGTGGTGTGGCCAGAACTTTGCATACTTAGCTATCATTTGTTTTCAGAACTGATTTGGACCACTCTGCAAAAGGTACTGCACATTTATCGCAACACATTTTAATTAGTTTTATTATTTTAATCCATAGAACATTAGAGTATTGTCTCTTAACCAGCAGCACAAACTGTGGCATGCTACAATCCACTGCACCGTGAGCATAATCATCTCCCAAATCTCCCGCCAAATACAAGCAGACTCTGCTATGCGTGACACGATTAGGGGAAACCGTTAACTTATCAATTTCCTTTCACCACTTGCTCAATAGAATTATCGGACCATCACGATACACGTCTCCTACGCAACCTCAACAGCAAACAGAGCTCCATTGATTCCCTTATTTATCACATTATTTACTTATACGATTGCTTTCAAATACATTTTACAAGTAAATACAACTAGCAATAGCTTTCTGGTCATGTGCTCAATAATATATATTTTTAGGGGTGACGGCTTAATGCCTTGAAATTTATATCGTGGATTACCAACACGTATAATCTGCTGCCATATATACATGGTGTGTGTGTGATATGTACATGGTACACGGTACAGTATATTGGGTGTGTGGTGTACATTGTATGAAATGTGGTATATATTGTGCACAATGTGCACGGTGTACATGGCTTGTTATGCGTACATGGTACATGGTGTGTGTAGTGAAGTGTATGGTGTGTGCATGGCATACACAGCGTGTACAACCACACACACCATTTGGCATGTTTTGCCACTGTGTGTCAACATAGCTATATTCCCATGCCATGTCTGACCACTGAGCTGTCACTTCTGAGAAGGCACGTCTGAGATGTTAGGCTTGAATCCAGGTTTCACTCACCCCATTATTAAATCGGGTTTTCAAGTATAGCGAACTGATGGTGTCATCCTAGTCACCAATGATTACAAAAATAAATGATTATGTTAAGGTTGATTTGTCACTTAATTTGGCATCACCCTGCCCTGGGGATAAAATACGCTGCAACCTCGTGTGAATCTGAGTGGCTTCAGGAGTAGTTCATCCTGATTAGCAACTATCTATCCATTGCTTAGCGGCCAATATAAATCCGTCTTAAGATTTAGCAAGTCCAGTCCACGCAGATTCAAACAGAAATCCGCGTAAGTGCATACGTTTGTTGCAAAATGTATGCTCACTGTTTTATTAAAGCCTAGCAATCGTGAACAGTGCACCTAATCAGAGGGTGCAATATATTGCGCAGAGGGGCATCCAGACATAAACGCTCGCATATCTAATTGCATGTAACGTTGGTGACGTGGCTGGATAAAGCCTGCTTCTTATCAGTGAGGAAGCAGGAGGCACTTTGGCTGCCTGTGGCGTGCAACCTAAAGACTCTCCAACACGTGGTCCTCCTCCCCCCAGCCTCCCCATGAGCTCTCACATGGCCCTGACCACCAGCCCAACTACCCTATCCACCACCCCACTGTAGTCAACACCTATTTACCTTCTGCTTATGAATGTCAGGCCATTTGAACAGGTATATATTTAAAAAACTATGGAGAAGGCATCCCTTGAATAGCTGAAAAATAATACCCCAACTCCATCAGGGGCGACAGGGTGGCGGCGCAGTGGTAACACACATGCCTCCCAACTCAGAGTTTGTACGTTCTCCTCCTGTTCTGCATGGGTTTCCTCCAGGTTCTCCCATAGCTAAAACAACATACAACGTAACTGGTATTGGCCAAACATAAAACTTCTGAAAAATTACCTGCAAAACTATGCAATTGGAATTACCGTGAAAACTTGCAAGACCTTCCTAAAAAAAATCTTTATACTGACTGAGGCTTTCCCGGGTAAACTAAAATAGCAATAATAATAATAATAATTAACCAGGAGGCCCTCAGAATCAATGCAGCATACGTTTGAGCAGACAAATCCTGGACTGGTTTTGACTTCTCTGGGCCTCATCAGCATGTGTTGCCAATTATATACATTCTCCTGGATTCTATGATGATATAGGCAAGAGCCTTTCCATATGTTATCATTAAACATATGCAGTCTCTGCTCATTTGGTCAAAATGATTTGGTACAATTTGTATGTATTCTGCTAAACATATGTACTCTACACACACAGCATAATTTAGTCTCCCTGCTCAATTCATTGAGGGCCCCTGAACTAGCAGTGGAAATGTCTCATTCCTTTGGCAGAGGTCAGTCTCGACATTGGACCTCCACAACCAACTTCTCCCAAAGAGGTACTCATATTATTCACCCTCAAAGAATGATAGATCTGACCCCCTAAGCTTAAAATTAGCCCCAACTAAATATCAAAACTATATTCTTGTAGGTGTAATTTTATTTACCTACATTTATGTTGTGTGCGTGTGCTCCACTCACTGGTAGATGGTGGGCAGAGACGTGATGAAGAACCGCCCACTTAGACCTGTGCGACAATAACAGCGAGTTAACAGTGTCGTGTGTGTGTGTACCTCCATGTGTTTGTTAGTGCACCATACCACTCACGATTGTGGTGGCCAGTACCATACCCAATTGACAATGTTTGTCTCCCAAACTCAAATATCTTATGCTGAGCTGACTTAGGAGAGACCCGAGACAGATTTGGCTAACAATTCCCACTGACGTTGTTTGTGGTCAGGAGTCAAACTTGCATCACTGGAATCGTAGTGTGGCGCATGAACCACGCTCTCCATAACATAGCAATTTTACTCGTACAAATACATTTGGAGTGACATCGCGGGATGTCACTTTGCAGTGCCGGGCCTAGAGAGGCACGGCGTGCGGTGTAGCGACATCGCGGACACCACGAGGGTGTGGGTGTAGTAGCGGCCAGAGAGGGGCCCGGTGAGCGCTGATTGATAGCGCTGGATGGCACCACGCTTGGCGTGCAGTGCCAGCCCTACAGGACAGGGTGTGGGAGTGCCGGCCGTAGGAATGAGGTTATTAAAGGCCATGGCACTCTGGTTGACCCGAGAAGACACGTGACCAGTTAATTCTACAAAGGGGCCCCAAGTGGGGGGCTAGGGGGGGTCACGTGGTTAGCATCCAGATCCTTCCCGAGGATTCTGGAAGGTGGTCGTGGCCCAGGGCGGAGCCGGCCACGCCACAGAGGATCTAAGCCAGAGGGGCCGGCGTTGTTGTTCATCCTGAAAAAACCTTCGTCTACGTCCTACGTCCTACTGAGTCTCCAACACGTGGACCTGGACCCGAGCTGTGGTCCCGGTCCGTAGTAGCGAATTACGTTGTAATTAGTGTAGTTAGCCTAGTAAACGAGACGCAACACCCAACAACAAAAACATCAACGTCGGCGTTTGTCACGGCTCGTGATGCACAAAGTGTGTGTGGGGGGGGGGGGGGTCTCACCTGGCTCGCGGGTCACGTCCACAGAGGCTGTGTTAATGCCCAGCTTCTTGCTCGTCTGCGCAAACTTGTGCCACTCGGACTGCAGTTGCCGGCAGGCGGGGCACCATGGGGCGTAGCTGTGGAGGTGCAGGGTCAAGGAGGGCAGCGTATACAGGTTGAGCCATTTGTTATTGTGGGAAAGCCACAGGGCCAATATCACCTCCACTGCCTGCCAATGGCCTCCTCTCCTCTGTCATCAAAAATACATTGGCAACCTTCTCTTGCGTTGCACGAGTCTTCCCCATGGTCTACTTCATTTTAAATATTACTTTTTCAACTCCGGTGTTGCCCACTTCTATACAGCATCTTGGGATGCAGTCACTTTATATATATTCTTAGGTTTTTTCGGTTAAGTCACGTAAGTAAAACATCAAAATAAAAATAAAATAAAAATCACGACGTTTCGGAGGCAACACAAGTCTCCGTCATCAGGTGGGACCGTCACAGCCGAATTAGCTGCATCAAGTGAAGCAATGATTCAAGATGTAATCCCTTATAAGCAAGTTGAAGGGAGGTGGAGAGAGGGGGAGAGCTTATCAGACTGTGGTAGCCAATGAATGGAAACGTATCGGGAGGGAGGAGGAGCGGTGATCAAAGACTGCACGTAGTGCTCAACACAATGAATGGAAACGTATCGGGAGGGAGGAGGAGCGGTAATCAAAGACTGCACGTAGTGCTCAACACAATGAATGGAAACGTATCGGGAGGGAGGAGGAGCGGTAATCAAAGACTGCACGTAGTGCTCAACACAATGAATGGAAACGTGTCGGGACGGAGGGTGAGCGGTGATCAAAGACTGCACGTGGGGATGTTAACACTCGGTGAAGTAAATTAAAATAGTGCCTGTCAGATAAGATGGTCCAAAAAAGACTTAATTACACTTTTTTGGACCATCTTATCTGACAGGCACTATTTTAATTTACTTCACCGAGTGTTAACATCCCCACGTGCAGTCTTTGATCACCGCTCACCCTCCGTCCCGACACGTTTCCATTCATTGTGTTGAGCACTACGTGCAGTCTTTGATCACCGCTCCTCCTCCCTCCCGATACGTTTCCATTCATTGTGTTGAGCACTACGTGCAGTCTTTGATCACCGCTCCTCCTCCCTCCCGATACGTTTCCATTCATTGGCTACCACAGTCTGATAAGCTCTCCCCCCCTCTCCACCTCCCTTCAACTTGCTTATAAGGGATTACATCTTGAATCATTGCTTCACTTGATGCAGCTAATTCGGCTGTGACGGTCCCACCTGATGACGGAGACTTGTGTTGCCTCCGAAACGTCGTGATTTTTATTTTATTTTTATTTTGATGTTTTACTTACGTGACTTAACCGAAAAAACCTAAGAATATGAATCTTTGCAGTCACGAAAGCTTCAAATCTAGAATCACTTTATACACTTTAAAATGAAAATTGTACTGTATTGTAAAAGTCGAGTCAAGTTCATCTTCCTTTCATTAAGTTGTTTTACTGAGATCACCGTTACTAAGCAGAGGCTCTAAGTCATAATAAAAAGCAGTCAACATACAGCTCAAGTAAGGGGAGTAGCAGGTGAGAGAGAAGAAGCTTCGCAGATCGAATCACGTTAAAGGAGGTTGGAAAAACGGGAATTATAAAGCCGAGCGATGAGAGGAAATGTGCCATCCTGCATGCAGCGAGGCAGTTGCAGGACGTGTGGAATGGGAAGAGTCAAAGCGGCGATAAACTGCGGTTGCAGGTTACGAGTAGCAGCGCTGTACACGTGAACACTCCACATCAACAACACGAGCAAGACACATGCCCCTGGGACGTGCACACACTGGGCCCACTAGGCATGCTGCCACACGTGAACCGTAGACACACGTGCACGGAGTGCGCACACACAATGTGCACACTCGGGGAGTGTACACATCACAGTAGTGTCAATAAGGCCATCCACTAAGGACGTGCACTTGACACATTAGTACTGTAGTGCCAGTTTGACAGTGTGTGTGTAGGTGTGCGATGTGCATTAACACGACAGTTCCAACATCCAAAGTACGCCCGCGATCAGTGTCCCCCAACATCCGCGCAGCGTCACTCAACACAAATAGCACGACGGGGGTCACAACAACAACTCCGTGGGGCTCTTCTCAGTTCACACTTGGACCACCACCACCACCGTCATTGGTCCCCTCCAGGAAGCTGGGCCACTTATTCGCCAGTCGGTGGCGGCCAGCTTCTCGTCCAGCCGAGCGCACACGTAAACACACTCCTGCAGAACAGTGCGTGTGCTGTGTACAGCACAAGCACGCACACTGTATATGTACATACTCGCACACACACACACGTGCGGTACACACTGCAAACACAACGATGTAGCAGTACAAGATGTGCAAGTGCATAGCACGCACTTTAAGCGTTGCAGTGCCCACTTGTATGTGCAGCACACTCCACAGTGTATACTAGACAGTACACACTAAGTGCCACAGTGTATACTAGACAGTCCACACTAAGTGCCACAGTGTATACTAGACAGTACACACTAAGTGCCACAGTGTATACTAGACAGTACACACTAAGTGCCACAGTGTATACTAGACAGTACACACTAAGTGCCACAGTGTATACTAGACAGTCCACACTAAGTGCCACAGTGTATACTAGACAGTACACACTAAGTGCCACAGTGTATACTAGACAGTCCACACTAAGTGCCACAGTGTATACTAGACAGTACACACTCGAAGTCTGCATGACTGAATACACTGCAATTTACGGCAGTGTATGGGTGGCGGTGGCTTGGGAAACCCTCATCCAGCAGTGAACTGATGGCTGCTGCTGATGACAGTAGAATACACAGCGCACGCATTCAGATGGCAGTGCACACTGTGCAGTACACACAGTACACACTGTACGCACTGTGCAGTACACACAGTACACACTGTGCAGTACACACTATGCAGTACACACTGTGCAGTACACACAGTGCGCGCTGTGCAGTACACACAGTGCAGTACACACTGTACAGCACACTGTGCAGTACACACTGTACAGCACACACTGTGCAGTACACACTGTACAGCACACACAGTGCAGCACACACTGTACAGCACACACAGTGCAGTACACACTGTACAGCACACAGTGCAGTACACACTGTACACACTGTGCAGTACACACTGTGCAGTACAGTACGCACTGTGCAGTACACACAGTACGCACTGTGCAGTACACACAGTACGCACTGTGCAGTACACACAGAACACACTGTAGAGTACACACAGTACGCACTGTGCAGTACACACAGTACACACTGTACGCACTGTGCAGTACACACAGTACACACTGTACGCACTGTGCAGTACACAGTGCAGTACACACTGCAGTACACACTGTGCAGTACACACAGAAGTACACACTGTAAAGCACACAGTGCACACAGTACACACTGTGCAGTGCACACAGTACACACTGTGCACACAGTACATACTGTGCACACAGTACATACTGTGCACACAGTACACACTGTGCACACAGTACACACAGTACACTGTGTACGCGGCCCTTGGCGCCAATTTTCGCACTGTACCCAGAGGCGGCAGTGGCGCTTAAAAACAAATATCGAGACGAGTCGAGTGTACAGTACACACACAGTGTGTACAGTACACACACAGTGTGTACAGTACACACACAGTGTGTACAGTACACACACAGTGTGTACAGTACACACACAGTGTGTACAGTACACACAGTGTGTACAGTACACACACAGTGTGTACAGTACACACACAGTGTGTACAGTACACACACAGTGTGTACAGTACACACACAGTGTGTACAGTACACACAGTGTGTACAGTACACACAGTGTGTACAGTACACACAGTGTGTACAGTACACACAGTGTGTACAGTACACACAGTGTGTACAGTACACACAGTGTGTACAGTACACACAGTGTGTACAGTACACACAGTGTGTACAGTACACACAGTGTGTACAGTACACACAGTGTGTACAGTACACACAGTGTGTACAGTACACACAGTGTGTACAGTACACACAGTGTGTACAGTACACACAGTGTGTACAGTACACACAGTGTGTACAGTACACACAGTGTGTACAGTACACACAGTGTGTACAGTACACACAGTGTGTACAGTACACACAGTGTGTACAGTACACACAGTGTGTACAGTACACACAGTGTGTACAGTACACACAGTGTGTACAGTACACACAGTGTGTACAGTACACACAGTGTGTACAGTACACACAGTGTGTTTGTAAAGCGGCGAGCAACAAACAGCACTCTCTAAATCTCCGTTTCGTTCGAGCGAGCGAGAAGAACTCGCGGGGCCAGCGTCAGTCGGTTTGCCAGTCAGCAGTCGCAGGGAGATCGATTGTTCGGTATAATCGGAACTGAGCAACGATCAATGATGAAATAGATCAAGAGCCGAGACGTTTGTTGCATCGTATGTCAGCCGGTACACGAACAACATCGTCTTGTTGCACGTCTTGCTGACATCGTCGATGACGAGAGCTGGGGGTGAAGTCATCCAGCAGTGGATCGATTGGCCGTGAACGTGTTGAGCTCGCACCCAGCGCAGTGCACGTGGCCCCGTGGCACCTCCAGCGAGCGCCGTGAGCTACGTACGGTGCGAAAGAAGGCCAACGTACAGTAGCACATACTGTACATACTCCAGCAAGGCGTTCGCCTTGTGCAGTGTGCGATGCCGTGAACATTCTTACATCTTACTACTCTATTGCATCTTACATTCTTACTACTCTGCGTGCCACGAGGCACAGACACGGATTACAATGTAGCGATATGCACTGTGCACAGGGTAGAGAACACATCTACAAGATATATATAATGACACATCTACAAGATATATAGTGACACGTCTACAAGTTATATAGATTAACACGTCTACAAGTTATAGAGTGCCGCATGGTCAGTGCACCACTACAGCGCATTGCGTATCCGCAGTCTCCCCTAGGTCGACTCAGACTTAAATGTGCATGTTGTGTAGACATCGAGGCTGGGGATGCGGGTGGGTCGTGGTTGTGCCCACGGCACCCGCTGGCCTCACGCGTGGCGAGTGTGTGGGCGACACGCGAGGCGACGCGAGCAGCAGACACCCGCACGCAGCGCGCCATGTGCGGGTGCCCCGCGAGGACGGGGCACGGACCCCGCCACAAGCGGCGATCGCTCCACGCGGACTCACAACTCGAGCATCCACTCGCCCTGCAGCACGTCCCGCCAGCTGTCTCGACTCAGCGCCGTCTCCTCCTCCTCCTCCTCCACCGCCGCGTGGCCGAGCAGCGGCAGCAGCAGCAGCAACAACAGGGTCGAGAAGACGGCGAACATCTTGAGCGGCAACATCTTGAGGCGTCGTCCGCGTCTGGAGCGCGTCCCGCGCTGTCGCCTCTCGGCGGCCTCGGGGCGGCGGTGACGCGAAGCCGCCGCCGAGAGGCCGCGCCCCGCAGCGCCGCCCGACCCCGCCCCGAACCTCACCGACACCGCCCCCTAAATAATCCCCCCTAAATAATCCCCCAGATAACGCCCCTAAATAATCCCAAAATAATCCCCTAAATAACCCCCCAGATAACACCCCTAAATAATCCCAAAATAATCCCCTAAAGAACCCCGCGATCTCCTCTGCGAGCCGTGGAGCTGCACTGCCGTGGTGCGGGGGGCCTCATCGGAACCCAACGCCGCTCACAATCGTCACAGAACGCGGCGGCGGCGGCGGCCTGTGCGGGCAAAGCGCCTCGCCACGGGGGGCGAGAGGGGCGCGAGTGGAGGATACGAGTGGGAGACATCGCTGCATTATGCACCCGGGGGGCTCCATAACGCAAACAGCTTTCTGCATCCACCCCGAGGCCACCACCACGCTCCCGGTGGGGCCGGGGGGCCAGAGGGGGGGGGCAGGGGGGCCCCCAGCATCAGAGCGCCCCCCCCCCAAGACGCCCCCTCCCCCAAGACGCCCCCCTCCCCCAAGACGCCCCCCCCCAAGGCGCCCCCCCCCCCAAGACGCCCCCCCCCCAAGGCGCCCCCCCCCCAAGACGCCCCCCCCCCAAGACGCCCCCCCCCCAAGACGCCCCCCCCCCAAGACGCCCCCTCCCCCAAGACGCCCCCCCCCCAAGACGCCCCCTCCCCCAAGACGCCCCCTCCCCCAAGACGCCCCCCCCCCAAGACGCCCCCCCCAAGGCGCCCCCCCCCCAAGACGCCCCCCCCCAAGACGCCCCCCCCCCAAGACGCCCCCCCCCCAAGACGCCCCCTCCCCCAAGACGCCCCCCCCCCAAGACGCCCCCTCCCCCAAGACGCCCCCTCCCCCAAGACGCCCCCCCCCCAAGACGCCCCCCCCCAAGGCGCCCCCCCCCCAAGACGCCCCCCCCCCAAGGCGCCCCCCCCCCCATGACGCCCCCCCCCAAGGCGCCCCCCCCCCAAGACGCCCCCCCCCCAAGGCGCCCCCCCCCCCCAAGACGCCCCCCCCCCCAAGACGCCCCCCCCCCCAAGACGCCGCGTGGCTCGCGATGGGGACACGGCGCCGACTCAGGTCGGGGGACCTGGTCACCTGGCAACAGTTTAAAGGAGATTTGAAGCTTTCGTGACTGCAGGGATCCATTCTCTTCGATTATTTCGGTAAAGTCACGTGCGTAGAAACAAATATCGATCTTCCACTTGAAGACGATTGCTTGTGTGGCTTGTGTGGCGATCGAAACGTCGTGATCTATTTTTTTTTCTAACTACGTGGCTTTAAATTTCGATTTAAAGCTTTCGTGACTGCAGGGATTCATATTATTGGTTCTTTCGGTAAAGTCGGGTAGAAGGGAAAAAAAATAATGCAGATAAAACGAAAAATGTTTTCACGACGTTTCGATTGCAACACAAGCAATAATCATCAGGTGTGAAAACTACAGCAAGGAAATGTTAGCTGAAGTGGGAGAGATGCTGTGGTAAGGGGTTATTTCCCTTCTACGTGACTCTACCGAAAGAACCAAAGAGTTTGGTTTGAGGAGGTATCGTCAACGTGGGGGGGAGCGGGTCGCGGGCTTCGAGAGTCTCTGCGCGCGGGGGCCGCACGCGTCACCGGCGGATCGACGGGCGGCCTCGAGGCGGCCGCTCGCACCAAGCCGCTCTCGCCCGCGGGGGGCGGAGCCTCCGGCGGGGGGCGGAGCCTCCGGCGGGGGGCGGAGCCTCCGGCGGGGGCGGAGCCTCCGGCGGGGGGCGGAGCCTCCGGCGGGGGGCGGAGCCTCCGGCGGGGGGCGGAGCCTCCGGTGGGGGGCGGAGCCTCCGGCGGGGGGCGGAGCCTCCGGCGGGGGGCGGAGCCTCCGGCGGGGGGCGGAGCCTCCGGCGGGGGGCGGAGCCTCCCGTCGCGGTCACCCCGAGCGCCAAAGTCACTTTGTGCCTCTAAGACCCCCCCCGCTGGCCGGGCCGAGAGACGGCAGTCGCCCCCAAACGACGGCAGAGGGCAGCAGCAGCAGAGGGGGGCAGCAAGTGCAGCAGCAGCAGAGGGGGCAGCAGCAGCAGCAGAGGGGGGCAGCAAGTGCAGCAGCAGCAGCAGAGGGGGCAGCAGCAGCAGCAGTCGGCACAGCGGGGAGCTCCGATGGCGCCTCTCGCCAGGCAGTCAGCTCATTACAATTGGCTCTGCCCCGTGACCTCCTCCTGCCAGCAGCGAGCCTTACACATTCCACGTGGCCTCTAAAGTGCACTTAGCCTGGCACAAGCGGCGTGGTGACGTTGCCACGCCGCTTAGTGGCGAACCGCGGTCGTTGTTGCCGATGTGCGTCGTGAACTCCTCTCGGGGTTCGGCGGTGGCGCCATCTCGTGGACCGCGCCCGTCGTGACCGAGCTCGTGTGCGCCTCTTCACGCAGTGCCAATCTATTGGGTTGCTTTTGGTTTCGTGGGCGATGCCTCGTGTTGGGGTTATTAATTATTACTAGGGGTTGGGTGGAAGTTGCTTGAAGTTCTCTCGTGCAGAATCACCGAGAGCAGTGTCCTCCTCCATTGCAAGGCCCGTGTGCCACTGGGAGCTAATTAGTTCGGCCCCCGACAATGCACAAATGTGAAAACACCTCGTCAGCATGTTGTCACCATGTTGTCAAACCCGATGGTTTCCAACGTGTGCGCCCCTCACGCTGATGTCGTATCGGCGAATGTGGCCCCTCTGAATATTAATGAAGAACACGGATCGAGAGCCACAGGAGCAAGTGGATTATTGCACCACGCGACTTGTGCTGTGAAGACGGACATTGTCCCAAGAATCCTCCACAATAACCATGAGCGTCTGCGTGTAGAATGTTTTATTCTTGACATGGAGGGATCGATTCATGGAGGCGACGTAGTCTGCTCACTTATTTAGCGCTACTGGTATGCAACGAATTGCTATATGAAAGTGACAACCGATTATATCAGCGACAACCATAAAGAATAACGTTACAGAAATTCATGTTTTATTTATAATGTGTATATGTAGAACATCCGATTATCAATCAGCACCATCGTCTCAATCTTCCACATCCCATCATCTGCCAATTTGTCACCATAATTGTCGAGTGGTTTCATCGCAGCAAAAGCACGCACATGGACTGCAAAGAGCTCCCTCGAACGCAGGTATTGGCTGGAGCAGACTTGATTAATTTTATCCGAATTAAAGACAACCAAATACACTCACTGCAGCAGCTCTCCTCGTATAACTACACCCCACTCAGTGCGTTTCGTGCCGCATGACTAAACGAAGAGACTTTAATGTCTTATGACTGAAGCGTACAACCGTAACATGGATTTTTCTACCAACGCGACTTTACCGAAAGAACCAAAGAGTATGGATTCCTGCAGTCACGAAAGCTTCAAATCAACATTGAGCACGTCACTGCAGCGCTGTGCTGAAGCCAGAACATAAATGTCAAGTTTAATTCTCAGTAACCGATCATTAAACTCATGTCGGAGAACCATGGGCATACATGCAGAGCCTCAGTTTATATAAAACGTAGCAAGTTGTGTTTATCCGATAGCAGAGAGAAGGGACAAGCAAACTGGGGGGCAAAGCAACTTCCCCAAACTTTACTCGAGCTGTCCAACCAACCAGGAACCATCATTAGCTCTTCCACTGGCCCCAACTCAAGCCCCTAACACAAACTCCAACTTTTCTAGGACCGCTTTTTGCTGTTGGCGTTTAAAACATCCGTTGCTTGATAGTAGACCGCATGTTTGAGTATTTGCCCTGCATGCCCAGATTTGAACGGCATATGTTAGGGTTCAAATATTTATCCCTAAGCGACCTCTACCATTTATTTTCTGACTACACTATAGCTCTTTTTAAGACGGCAAAGATAGCGGGTAGTTTAACGATTTACCCTGTGTGTATGTATTGTATGTTTCATACATAGGGTGGGTGTTGCGGTTGCCACCTTTTCCATTGTAGAACAACCCGGACAGATGCAAATTCCAGGACTGTCCAAGTCAAACCCAGACAGGTGGCAACCCTCGTGGGTGTGCATGGGGATATACATACGTGCCACATTTGGGATAATCTAAACCGGAGGGCTCCTTCAACAGACGGGTTTCGCCTGCTCATTCCTTGTGGGCGCAATATTACAACAACGCGGTGCTGAGTGCAGTGGAGATTTGGTGGGAACTGACACGTAAACCCTGAGATTCACCCTGTAAAACTGCATATGTAACTCTATCACACATGTATATTTTAAACCACAATACTCCCAACAATGATTCTAATACAATGACATTTTCCCTATACACCGAGATCATATCACTCTCGCACACACACACACACAGAGACCCCTAATATCTAGGACCTTACCACATCGATACTGCACCATCACGGCCACATGGCCTTCATTTGTCATTCTCAATGTATTACCATGAAGGCGTTGAAGCTGCACATATATAAAGATCAGCTGTTAAGGCTTCCTTGTGAAAGACCTGTTTCAATGAATTCTTCCCTGGTCAAAAACATGTACATGCTGCAACGCACATGGTTCAACCGTGTTAAATCAACAAGGGCTTGTGACACAACCGAGTTTCCTGAAGCTCGGTCGTGTGATACATACACGAGGTGGTTTCCCAATGAATCAGCACTTCACCACTACCCATGACCCCACGATGATATTTACAAGGGAGGGTGGGGATTAAGGCCCGATTGACCGTTTCCTTATAGGAAGTTTTTCTTAATCGGTATCTTGGTAACCAGAACTTACAAGGCATTTCTTATACCTGATGATTCGACACAGAAAGACCCATGTGCGGCATATAACGTACAATGTTGTCTCAAGACTTTTTTTTTAGGATGCTCTAGCATTGGGGTTTGTTCCTGCAGAAAACCCACATATGCAAGACTATAATGTTCACACAAATAGGTCATGAACACGCTTACTCTACTGCCATTTCACATCCCACCTCACTACCGAGCACACAGAGACAAATGTCTGCGATCCATCGACGCAGCTGCCAGTGGGCTGGGTTACATCCAACGGCCCGTGTGGTTGGGTAAGGTCAAACAGCCCGCATGGACCAGTCTACGGCACGGGCAGTTATTCATCCATCAGTGGATTGATAATGGGCTGTGATATTTACAAAGTATCGTGTTGCATACATTATTCATTTATTATATGCACACACATAGTATGCAGCACAATACTTGATATATGTTTACACAGTATCCATTCACTGCATTTCAAACAGGGAGCATGACCATTGAAACATTCATGGTCCTACTCTTTGGGTCAGGAAAAGACGACCGCTTGTGTTGCGATCGAAACGTCGTAGTTTTTGTTTTTTGTTATTTTCGTTGAACCCATCTACGTGACTTTACCGAAAGACCCAAAGAATATGAATTCCTGCAGTCACGAAAGCTTTACGTCAAGATGCATGATCCTATCAAGAAAGACCCAGGGTACACACAAGCTAGCATTTACTGCATATATATAGAATAGGCCTGGGTACGACTATTGATATCCTATTCCTATGTTGATTGCATTGGGTGGGTCTAGCTCCGCTGGAGGCACCAAGGCGCTCTCCACAGTTCTCAACGCCACCTAGGGTAGCGAGTGCACCTCACTTCTCTTCTGACCACCCCTGCGTTGTTGGCGAGCGCCTATTAAGGTCGGGATGGCACATGGTGGATTAGATCGATCGTGTGACTAGAACCACACTTTATTGTCTCCCAAGAACAAATGTTGAGCACACCAGACAGTCGTTTTAGGCCGAGTTGATCTGAGGAGAGCTCGGGCAAACGTTAAGTGGGGCAATTAGGAGTGTAAATCGTGAATCACTGGATTTCCAATTGGAAGAGGACAGTGTGGAATAATACATTGTCATGCTGTACCAAACTTCTATGCTCATGTCTATGCCCGCCTTTATCAACCCACACTGTCCAGCATGATGAAATATGCTGTGTGGTGAGGAAAGGCTCTCATTTAGCATTGCATTGACAAATGGGCTGTACACACATATAATATATATTATAATATATTATAGGTCCTTGTTCTTATTTACGGCATCAAAAATTTATTTTGTACAGCCTGGAGAGCACCCACAGCCATGACTACGAGCAAGACCCCCACTATTGAGTGACTCTCAGCAAGTTCAATCGAACTAGACTCGATTTGATTTCTTGTCAGGCACAACATCAGAGAAGAAGTGGGGTCTTTGATACCGCCCACATCTCCCACACGTGGGCTTAGCTCCCACAAAAGCGCCCCGTTTGGAGGTCTGGTCAACACCTCCGGCAGCTGCATTCACAATGAACGCTTCTTCTCACACAGCACTGTCAGCGAGTCTGGTCAAAGCGTCGCCCTCACAAACAGCACCGTTGGGGGCAGTGCTCATATCCATTGGTGACTCCGAGCCCTAGTAGAAACTGCACATTCTCATGGCGGGGACCAATCTCTTTCCAAAGGATAATCGCCGTTATTTCGGCACACGCAAACGCCCATAGAAACGACTCGGGGTGTGTACGCCAGCGGGTGTGGCTGCGGGGTGCTGCCTGCATGCAGGGAGTCCGCTCCACAACGGTAGTGTGCAGCAGGGAGTGCTTGCATTGGCGTCGTCAAGCAGGGAATGCAGGAACCTTTTGCAGCCACTGTTTTTTGTTCCTCTCCATGCAACGCCGCGCGCATCATTCATCACAGGTTGTGTGCGCGCGTGTGCGAAAGGCGGCGACGGGTGGGGGTGCCCTGTGCATCTCATGCCGGGCATTAGGGATTCCCTGGGCCTCCTCGAACTCCCGCACGGTGCCACGCGGGGCATTCCACAGGAGGCGCCCCGCGCCGCGCACTCCTTGCCGGCGTCTCATGCGAGGTGCCCGGAGCGCTCGCGTTTCGCCAGCGAGTTCGACCGGGGCTCAGCTGAGACGCCACTGCATGACGCTGCAGTCCTTGCCACCCGTGGAGAGCAGCAGGGAGTCGTCCCTCGTGAACAGCACGTTGGTCACGTGGCTGCTGTGGCCTCCGTAGACGTGGCTCGGAGCCTGCGCCGTGCGAAGGAGCATCACTCGTGAGCGTCACTCATGCACAACGATGCCCACAATAACGAGCGGAGTGCTGGGCGGCTAAAATACGGTAAGGTCAGTTAACCCCAATGCAACTTGAATCTGTCCCATGACCTCCTGCCTGCAGCGAGCCTTCCAAACTTCACATGACAGCTTAAAAGTGCACCTAGCCTGACACGAGTGCTGTGGTGATGCCACCGCCATTTAGTCGCAAATGGCGGCTGTTGTTTAGTTTATTACGTTTCTGAGCCAGCTGGCCAGGATTGGACAGAACTTATCCCACTGGAGGCAGTGTATGCGAGTGTGGTTGCTATGGATGCCAGTGTAAGTAAGGGAGTTGGTGGGGTTGCTCTACGGGAGAGTGGGAGGGTGTGTGGGCTGCCCCTTGCTCACCTTCGGCTGTGCGCTGGGGAACGGGAAGAGCTGAACTTTTCCGAAGTCGTCGGCAATGGCGAGGACGCGGCGGGAGTGCGAGCGGCACAGCGCGTTGATGTCCGTGCCGTCAGAGCCGTCCGACCAGACACCTGCGGGAGCGTGGGCAGGCGAGAGCAGATGACGAGCGACGAGGTGAGATCGAGGAGGTAAGAGCGAGAGAAGGTGGAGATTGGGGCAGGAGAGAGAATAGAAAATGGAACAATAGCAGAGAGACAGGTGGACAAAGTGACAAAACAGATAGACAAGCAGACGAATAGAACAACAGGTAATTAGGCAAGTAGACACAGGCAGCAGGTAGGTAGATAGGTGGTAAGGCAGATAGGTAGACAGGTGGATAGACAGAAGGACAAACAGGTATACAGACAGGTTGGTGGATAGAGATAATTAGCCAGATAGGGGGGCACACGAGCTGGTAGACAGCCAAGTGGCAGGGCAGCTAGATGAACAGGTGGGCAGACAGACACACAGACAGGTAAGCAGAGAGATAACTTGTAGGCACAAATGGACAGAAAAACAGTTTTGGAAACAGACAGGCAGGCAGGCAGACAGGCGGCCTCACCATAGACGTAGAAGCCCAGCACGCAGGTGTACGTCGCCCAGTCGACGTCGCGGGTCGGGGCCACGGACGTCACCTGCTTGCACGAGGCCGCCGTCCCTGGGGGGAGAGAGAGAGAAACGACGCAGAGTGGTGTGGGGGGTGGTGGGTGGTGGGTGATGGGGAGAGAGGCCGCAGTGGGGACTGCCGGCCATGTGCATGTCTCAGGGGCCTGGCAGGCACTCACAATAGAGGATCTCGTAGTCGCCCGAGTTGGACATGAGGTACGTTCCGTCCGTGGACCAGTCGAGGTGCGTGATGAAGCTGGAGTGACCCTGAGTGGCCGCGGAGGAGCACACACACACGTGGACAAAGACAAAGATTCACTGTGTGGCCTTCAGGTTGTTGGAACGGTGCCGTTAAGAAGCTACCAAGGCCAGAACGACGCTCGAGGTGTCGCCGAGGCCAGTGCTACATCTGGGCACCTTCATCTTTCCAGGGCTGATGTTTACACACCGCACCGGGTACTCAGTTAAGGTTGAGTCGATCTAGTGGAGAACGAAGACCGGTTCAGATATCATTCGTTAATGATGTTGCCCGTGTCTAGGAATCTGAAGCGGGTATTTGGGTTCTTCGCTCGCAGAGAGCGCATCTGTGTGCTCCTGATGGGGTTCAACAATTTTCTCCTTTGACCTCATCTGTAAACCTGTAAATTGTAACATTTTCGATTCAATAATCATACTTTGCCTCATTTCGTCTCATTTGTAGTGTCCCTTTGCATACCATGTGTGTACATTGTAAATATTGGATTCATTCTCAAACACACGAGTGATGATAATCATAATAGCGAGAACGATGAAGGTGGCGGTGATGATGATAGCAATAATGACAGTGGTGGTGGGAGGAGAGTGGTGATTATGAGGATGTTGTCAATGACGGCGGTCTGTCATTTTCTATTGACGTTTGCAAATACGATCATTTCCATATCCGCCTCCAGCTTGGTCCCCAGCGAGTCAGATGAGCATCGTTATACTGTCTCAGCAAGCGGTTGGGGAGCATTGTGGTTGCAGTGCTCACTTTACAACTGAAATTACCAAGTTCAATCCTCGATCAATTAAACAAGTAACACTTCACGTTAGCCCGCGACCAACTTCCCTCGAACGTGCCCGATCTCATTAGGTCTCGGGAGCTCGGGCTTTACGTCAAAAAAACAGGTACTCATTTTGACGACAATGGGCCGGGCCAAGAGATGGAAGCAAATTGCAAATCTGGACGTTAGAGCACGAACACACGACTGTCACGATGGTAACGTGCGGCGCCGCGCGGGTTCACGAGCCGCCGTGGCGCTCCCTGGGCGGATCTCATCGCGAGCTTACCGAGCACTTCCCGGCACGAGTGTACTTGCGGCCGCCCTCGCTCACGCTGTAGACGTAGACGAAGTTGTCGTGTGATCCCACGGCCAAGAAGGAACCGTCTGCAAAGAAACGCAGTGGCAGCTTCAGCGGCAGGTCAACTTAGGATCACGTAACACTTTGCGACGTGCATTTGTCCTTGGAAATATTTGATTCGCAATCATTCGGCCACGTTTCAAGTCACACGGGAAGACATTGTGGCACATGATGGGGCTACGTTGTGGCACACGATGCACGAGGCCGTCATTAAGAATGGCACAGGGGGGCGAGGCAGTACACCTGGAGTCATCATCGCCCCTGCCCAAGAGGCTTACCCATTTCACGTTGGGTTTTTATTACCAAATTCTCAACAACCTCTTTGAAATGGCCGGTTTTATATAGGGGAAGTGCGCCATAGACACACAATGTAATGTTAAGATGTAATTTATATTGGATCATATTTACTCCAGTTATGACTGTGTTACAGGCAGACGGACATGTGCATGCATTAATGCTTTTAAACATGGTTGGAAAACCACAATAATTTATGACTGCATCACTGCACGTTAAGATTATGCCGTGGCAGACAGCTTCCCGACCTAAAAGCAGTTATATTAACAATTTCGATTTAAAGCTTTCGTGACTGCAGGGATTCATCTTCTTTTATTTTATTATGTTTTATTTTTATTATTTTATTACTTCCCTTCTACGTGACTTTACCGAAAGAACCAAGAAGATATATTAACAATGTTTTTGCACTTTCAAAAAAATCCTTTAATTTTACTTGAGAAGCATCTCACCTGGTGAGTATCTCATTACGGAGATTTGCTCTGCGCCATCTGTGTGAAGGGAGACCAGGTCCCGCGTCTCTGCGTCAAACACCATCCACCTGGTGATGGGCACGCACCACAAACAAACACACAGTTAAGGGTGTCTGAGTGTGTGGTGCTGGCCACCCACCCCCTCGTGTGCTGTGTCAGCCTTCATTAGGTGCTCACTAAAAGCACTTGCCCCACGAGTCTGTTAAATGTATACGGGAATGTGTCTTTGTGCAGCATGTTAACATCGCCACTGCGGAAACAAAAGCAGTCAGGCATGGTGCTGGCCTCCCACCCCGTCGTGTACAGTGCTAGCCTTAAAAGGTGCTCACCAACAGTACTTGCTCAAACATTCTGTTAAGGCTATCAGGGGACCTCTGCATTTGTTGTATAAAGGCGACAATCCCCAGTGACTATTTTCCAGTTTTACCATCTCCCCCGCCCCTCCCATCACGGAAGAGCCCTTCCCCCAAAACCCCCACCGCTCCTTGCCCGCGACCCCCACGCACCGCCCCGTGGAGGTTCCGATGGCGAGCACCGCCCCAGCAGGGTGGAAATCGGCCGACTGCGCCGGGTCCTGAAGACAACGAAGAGGACGGATCACACGAGGAGGTACTGCTGCGTTGGCGGCGGTGATGTTGGTGATGCGGGTGACCGTGTTTGTGGTCACGGTGATAATGGTGAAGCCAGCACAGTGGTGGAGGTAGGAGTGAGGATGTATATCATACACGCTGCTGGAACGATGATGGGATGTGAAAATTTTTTTTTTTATGTGGAGGGACAGATATGTCAACTCCTTATCAGTGCCTACCTTATTACAGATAAATTCTGACCTTATTGGTCACCCCGTGCCCTTATAAATCTCAATGTTCATCCTACAAAGTCACATCACAAGGGAGAAATGGCGATACGCCATATTGACCTAAAAACTCAATTTCCTTGTCCAAGAATATGGGTAAAGCGTATGGGTTGACAGGTATGCGTGTACAATCTTCTTATTTATTTGAATACATTTATAGTGGTGATGATAAATAATGATTGTGGTGGTGGTAATGATGGGGGGGGTAATAGTGGTGAGATTGATGTTGGTTATGGTGGTAATAATGATAGTGATAATGGTAAATGATGGAGGTGATACTGGTGGTGACAGTGGAAGGAGTTGTGGTAATAATTATGATGGTGGTAGTGGCAATTACAGCGGTGGTGATGGTGATGATAGCAGCGGTGCCCACGATAATGTTTGTGGTGGTAGCGATGCTAGTGCTTGGGCAGTGCTGCTGCTGAACTTGGTGGTTGTACTGGTGGGGGGCACGCAAGTCTTGTAATGATGATGGTGGTGGTGGGTAGAGTGGTGGTTGTAATGAGAGTGATGATGAACGTAGTGGCGATTGTAGATGTTGCACCTCGAGAGTTTTAATCCAGATGGGCTGGTGCGTGGACGTGTCCCACAGGATCGCCTGCTTGTCCGAAGCGCACGTCAGGAACTGGCATTTCAGAGGATGCACAGCGAGGCCCCACAGTTCGTCCGTGTGGCCCTGCACCGGCAGAGATGGTCACAATCCACCCACACCAGTACACAAACCACCCCCACCATCTAGGCGTGGTGCTGGACAGCTACCCCCCCCTCCTCTACCGTGTCCCATGCCGGCCTTAATAGGTGCTCGCTAACAGCACTCACCCCCAACAGTCTGTTAAAGGCTATATGGGGGGTGTTTGTCTTGGCTGGTGGCGGCGGTTGTACCGATTGTGGTGGTTGTGCACGTCACTCGTGTGCACGTAATGTGTGCGTAGGTATGTCTGGGTGCGAGTGTGCACGCGCGAGAGCGCCGGTAGCCATGTAGTGGCGCTACCCTTAGTGAGCACCGGGAGGGATGGGGGAGTGGGGGAACGGTGGGCGCCGGTGGGCAGGGCGAGATGGGGCTGATAGTACCTGAACGACGGGGGTGAAGTCCCCGGCGAGCGAGCCCAGCAGCACGGCGTTGCGGGTGGTGCCCACCAGCACGGCGTCGCCGCGGCCCTCGGCCACCGTGCGCACCGGGCCAAACGCCTCGGGGATCTGGGGGGAGCGGGGACGAGGCGCGCCGAGTCAACGACGGCAACCGTTACCACAACCACCATCACCATTACCGTGGCAACCGCCACAACCAGCCGCAGCAACGATAAGAGCATCAGCACCACCATCTGCATCGTGTGACGGTCTGTGCGCTGTTCAGTGTGCATAGTCTGTCGTATATATGCGTGGTGCGGGTGCATGTGTGGTGTGCGAGGTGTGTAGTGTGAGCATCGTGCGTGGTGTGTCGTGTGTGTGTGGTGTGTGTGGTGTGTGTCGTGTGTGTGGTGTAAGTGGCGTGTGAGTGGCGTGTGTGTGGTGTGAGTGGCGTGTATGTATGTGTGGCGAGACCTCGGTTTCGCCCGTCTTGCGGTAGGCCGTGTCCCACGTGACGAGCCGCCGGTCCTTGCCGCCCGACACGAGTGTTCCGTCGCGCTGCATGCACAGCGTGAAGATCCCTCCGTCGTGGGCACCGACGATGGCGTGCGTGATGCGGTTCGTTCCTGCTCCACCGTCACCACCACAGAGCACAGAAGACACAGGGAGTTACGTAGACCACCATAATAGTCTATCATAACACATGTATACATTTCCACAGCCAACATTACGATTAGTAATTTATGTTAGGATTAGGCCGCATACCGATCTGGCCGAACCTGTGTTGCTGGTCATCCCAATGCCCTGGTCTCTCACCTGAAGACGCTTGGTGCAATTTCAAGCTAAACTTCGCGTCGATAATCGCTGCTAAATTTGGCTGTGAGATTTGTTCTTCAACTCTTCAGTGAATCAGCCAAAATAATAATTGGCACGTTGAGACTTGCATGTCATGTGCCAATTTAATTTGCTTGGCCATGTCGACCAGATCTTTACCTGGCCCAAATGAAAAAATATATAAATCAAAGGGGAATAGTAAAATCATCATGTATTACAGGGGGGGGTGGTGGGCCTGGAAAAATGTTCCATGAGAATTGAAGACGTGAGGAGGTGTGTTTGTTGTGCTAAGTAAGTGTTGGGGATGACAAGTGATTGTCATGAATTGCAAGTACACCAGACAACTAATAGTGGAGAATAGGGTCTTTCCCCTTTTTTTCTGGCAACAAAAAAAAGACCTTTTACAAGGAATCATGTTTGCATTAACCACAATACTTGCACTATCAGAGTAATGAGAGCTCTGGGTATTAGTTGTCGCAGGTGAGTGATTGGGGGTTACAGGTGTCAGAGCTGTCTGGGGAGAGCAGGTGTACGGGCTGCCGTGTACAAGTGCTTGATGCTACAGGAAGTGAATTGGCTGGATATTTACGTTGTTAAAAACATTCTCCACTATTAACTTGGACCCATGTTTAATCTCGAACAGACGGTCCTTCCTCGGCTATCTGGTTGTGGGTTGAGATTAGGTGAAAGTGTTTGAGGCTACAGGTTAAGTGTTGTGCCATGGGTTTGGTAAGCAATGGGCGAGCGCTTAAGAAGACACACGAGCATTTGAAGCCACGGCGAGGTGGACCTGGTGAACGCTACCTCGTCCCCAGACGAAGATGTTTCCACTGGAGTCTCCCGTGATGGCATCGCCGTTCTCCGCAAACGTCACACACAGCACGTACTTGGGCTTGTCGTGCTTCTGCGCGCGTCACACCGACGCAGAGAGTCATGCCACAGAGTCACTGCGCTCAAACGAGTGACACCCAGCGCCATCTCACTCGAGCGCTCCCGAGTGGGCGGTTAAAAAGTCCACACTCACGGGAAAAGTCTCTCCAAATTAACTAGACCTCGGAGGAAATGTCAGACCGAGTCGAGGCCAACGTTCGTTACGGGATATGAATGCCGAACCAGAGTGGGAGAGTCTCAGGCTCCAACCACAGCGCCACCCAGCCATACAAAAGCGCCCACCTCTTGTAACCCTCTTTGTATTTCATTATTGGCATTGGTGGAAATGTTTGAGGATATGCCGGCATGTCACACTGGCACAAGCATGTGGACCGGCACTATTCAGGACAACTCCTATTCCTACGCTGCAATGTTTCCACAACACGGACAGGTTTCAGAGTGGCACTTCCACATTTACATTTCGACTGCTGATTATTATTTTTTTGTTGGTTCCTGTGACCAAAGTACACGCAATGCGCCTGAGCTCGTCAGATCTCAGAAGCCTTGCAGGCTTGAGCCTGTCAGGGCTAGAGTGGGCGACGGCCATGTGGGCGGCAGAAGGTGGTGCAGCAAAATCCCCATTGTTGTCCTGTATTTGTACGCTTCCACGACCGTGCTCCTCATCTTCACTAACCCATTGGTATGAACTCAGTGACCTGAGTTCATTTCCCATCCGTGGCTAAATCAGTGACAAGTGATATCTGAACCGGTCCTGGGCCCATCCTTCACCAAGCCACACTAAACAGCCAGGAGAAGTATGATCAAAATCTTTCACGACTTGAAGGACATGGGCAAGCCCTCACCTAGCAATAGAGACGAAAAAATGTTTCTAAAATATCTCTTGTGCGTGTTGGTAATGAGGATCACCAGTTAGAGTCAACGCCTCGGGATACCTGGCGTAGTGAACGCTACATGCATCCTACAGGCGGCCTCCCGCCTGCTACGCAGGGACTCGGGGGAGGGTGGAGTACGGGTGGGTGGGAAGATTTCAAGTTCAAAGTTCAAGTTTATTTTCTTGAACCAGGCAAAAACCCAAGAGACCAGGACTAGTGTTTCATGTGCAAGAGTGACCTCGGGAACCAAAATGACAAAAGTAAGAACCACAAAAACAAATACAAAAATGAAGCAGATAGAAATCGGAGCGATAAAAGCAACCGCGTTAGAGGAAATCGAAAAATAATTCAAGAAGATAAATACATTTATATTACGTTATTACTTCTCCTTAAGATTCCAAAACAAGGGGTGGGGAACAAGTGGCACCTCGAAGATGCCCTGCTTTTTGGACAGCGAGTTGCCCTCCAGCGTCCAGAAGTGCACGTGGGATTTTCCGCACGTCACGATGGCTCTGGGGTCCATGGGGTGGAAGTCGGCAGCGAACACGGCTTCGTTAGAGCACTGCGGTGGGGGGAGGGGAGCGGGGTGAGGGGTGACAGGGAGAGGCGTTCTCGTTACAACGGTGTGAATGGGTTGCTGACTGGCTGGCTCAGAGTGCAGATATCGAGTCGGAGACACGGTGCCGGAAACCAGCCTGAATGCGGCTTTCAGTGAGCTGGACCCACACCTAACGGAGGGCCCTGGCCTATAATCCTCTGGGAGTCCACTCAAATTGGATAAAGCACACCTCACTCCGGACCGATATTGATATTCGTGTCTCATTCGTGGCGTTTGCTTGTTGCTCAACCAATGCTACGACAGTTATGCACTCCCAGAAGATCGTGTGGCTGATGGTATGTGTAAAAAATACTTTTCTTTTTAACATGATCGTGTATTGTCTGTTTGTTTATTTATTTACTGACCTATTTTTAATTTACTGATCTCATTGACTGCATGAAACACTCAAAACGAACCAATTAATCCACCGACAGACCAAATGACTGATTTAGTGATTTACTGATAATCTCACCGACTGATGGACTGGCCGAATGGTTGGCCGATGACTGGTCCGTGTCGCTGCACCCCTACCTTGATGTCGGCGAGCTTGTTGCCCTGCTGCCAGTCCCACACGGAGAGCACGTGCTCGTTCCCATCGTCCACCGCACACAGCAGGCCGCAGTTCTGCACGCCGTCGAGACAAAACAAAAGCACCCTGTGTCGACGCTTACAGAATGTTGGGGCAAGCACCGTGTTTACCGAGCACCTCCGGAGGCCAGCACAGCACATGAGTAGCTGGGTAGCCAGCAACCAAGCCTGTGCTGATGTTTACAGACTGCACCAGGCAATCAAGACCGAGTCAAACTAGGGGAGTCCCAGGACCAGTTCAGATATTTGTGACTGATGTTAGCAGTGAGCATGAATCGAATTCAGGCCGCTGAGTTTGTAGCGCAATGCGTTAACTACCGTACCATTACTCCTCACACTCCAATCGATAGACTCTCTACTCTCAATACATGAACACACACGCATATATTTGACATACACACATGTATTCAGTGTACCCTGAATCCATGTTCATGTGTCTGTAACTTAACTTTACTGTGAATTGTTTGAAAAAGTAATTTGTCCAGGCCAACGTTCGTTACAGGAAAAAATATCTACGTAGATTTTTACTTGTGCACTCTTTTCATTTATTCTGTAATGCAAAGTTTTTTTACCCCAATATCTATTTGCTTAATTTTTGTACTTTTTATGTTATTGCTTTTGCCATTTTAGTGAGCCAGGTAAATGAGTCACTCTTCAAAGTGAGACTCTGCTCCTGGTCTCAGGATCGCTCTCCTGGTTAAAACAAAAGAAACTGAATCTCACCGTTTTGGAGAAGGCCAGGCAGACGATGCCTCGCTCAAACACGCCAGGTGCCGATCACGTGCAGCGTCTTGAGGCTCACCGAGTCCCACACGCGCACGTGAGCCGGCAGAGTCTGCCGGCGCCAGTGGGGGAGCGAAAAGACGAGAGAATGGAGATGAGGGAGAGAAAGGAGACACACAAAGTCACACCCGGTGACACGATAGGCGGAGTTCGTTGGAGAAGAGCGCCCGTGACGCCCACCCTCAGCACATTTGAAATAGTGCCCCCCAGTGGCAGCTGGCCCCATGCGCCACAAGATGGCTTGGGCACTTGGCCTATGAGCGGGCATTTGTCTGCCAGTAGGTGGAAACAATTACCGTTCGTGATTATCCTAAATGAGTGATTTGCGCTTAAATGGCAATGGCTACGATGACCAAATCACCTGGAATGTGCCCAATCGCAACAGATCTGGGACATGCTACTTGTTATTTTATTTCCCCACGCTAAATCCCTCCAGTTTGGATGCCTCCTTTGCGACAGTGTCCAGGGTGCTAAGCAGCGAGGGGCCTGGTTAGTAATGGGATGGGTGACAGCAGGCTGTCATCGGGGGCTGTGGGGCTACGTGGTGGACAGTGGAGAAGAGAGTAGCAGCTACCCGGGATTGCACTGCACTTCTATGCTCCGCTCCCGTTGGTATGCTCTCCACCTTCACGATCCCCGCCCTGACCGGCGTGGTAGAGTCTGGCAAAAAAAACATCGCGACCCGCACGGCATGGGGAGGCCCTCATCCAGCAATGGACTGACAAGATGGCTGGCTGTATGTGTAGATCTGCTGCTGCAACACGGAGCGGAGCGCTCGGTTGCAACTGGGCTGGAGCGGCGCGAGGCAACACGGCGCGCCTCACCTTGCCATCCTTGCCCGTCCCCACCACCTGTCCCGTGGCGATGGTGATGCGGTCAGGGTGTATGGCAAGGCTGGGGGCAGACGCAGGCAGAGGAGGAGTGGTGAGAAGTAAAACATTGTGAAGCTAATTTAATACTCGGAGGGAAAACAAGCACACAGCGTGCAACAGCGCACAGGTGCAACAGCACAATGTATAGGCAACGAAGGAGGACTGAGACCACAACAAAGACAAAGATCCCCGTATAGCCTTAACAGACGTTTGGGGCAGGTGCTGTTAGTGAGCGCCTATTGAAGACTGACATGGCAGACGAAGGGATGGTTAGCCAGCACCATGCCCGGCCACCTTTGTCTCCTTAGTGGCGATGTTTGCACACTGCACCGGATACTCATTTGAAGCCGAGTTAACCTAGACGAGGCCCAGGACCGGTTCCGATATTCGTCACCGATGTTGGTTATGAGCAAAAGTGAACTCAGGTTTCTGGGTTCGTAGTGCAGCATGCTAATCACTGCGGTCTCACTCCACACACCACTTCTCACAACAGTGACATCACCACAGTGCTTCTGCCAGGCTAGGTGTACCTTGAGGCGAGGTGAAGTGTCGAAGGCTCACTGGCGTGAGGTCATGGGACAGACGCAGGTGACTTGGATGACTCCCAGACACGCATGTACACACACGCCAATTGTAATCCAGCACGTACGCACGCGTACATACACACACACGGACACACAACGGGGCGACGCCGGCTCGCACTCGACAGCCTCACCACTTGACGTCGTCGTTGTGCTCCAGGTAGTGCCGTTGGTTTCCCTCCTCGGGGCTGTAGAGCACCACGACAGAGGCGATGAAGTACACCATCTCCCCGGTGGGCAGCAGATACAGGTTGTTGCGGCAGTCTTTGCCACGGTAACCATAGCTAAGCCCCGGCCGCCGTCAAGGACGTCACGCTTTTTCGACATCGAGCCTCAAACGAGGGCCTCGTCACCGACCCCGCCACGTAACCCTTGTGGGATGGGCCTACCCAGGACGGACCCTTTTATGGGCCCTAACAATCCTCCAATGCTCTTTGGTTTTTTCGGTAAAGTCACGTAGGTGAAAACAAAATAAAATTTTGTTGTTTATTTTTATTTTATTTTAAGCTACGTGACTTTACCGAAAAACCAAAGAGTATGGATTCTTGCAGTCACGAAAACTTCAAATCTAGACTCCTCCAATGATTCCCAGATCCCTCTCATAACCCTTAGATCCATTGCTTCCCAGATCCTTCATACTGCCTCCTTGACCTGTGGATTATCTGACAGATCCCTCCCATCCCACACAGATCCATCTACCGGATCCCAGGTCCCTCCAAAGTATCCCAGGTCCCTCCAAAGTCTCCCAGGTCTCTCCCGAGCCAGAGTGGATACACCCAGTTGAGTTTTAGTTTCTCAGCAGGCGGCTCCAGCTTTGTGTCGAGCCGGTAATCCTCTGCCATGTCCTGCGGCAGGTACATGGTGATGGGGCGGCCACGCAGATACATCTTCACGTATCCCTCCTCTGTGGAGAAGATAGTGCCACTGTTGATTTGCTAAGCGCCAACAAACAATTTTAAACGTCTTCTGAAATTGAACAAAACATGAAACTGCGAAAAATGCATTAGAAAAAAAACATAAATGTACTTATCTGTTGTCAGAAAACCAACACGCAAGATTGATCATTATTAAAATGAATTTCATAACTGACTGGCTGTGTGGTAGGAGCACATGTTTTAAAATCTAAAACTGGCAGATGGGGTTGCTTCAGAGCATCCTATGAGATTGGAAAAACGAGAATTGTACCACCTTGTGGGAATTCCATAGAGTTTATCCTATGTAGAGATTGGCCCTCAAAGTAAAGTGTAATTTCCATCATCATCTCAAGACCACAAATGAATGCGAGCGCTGATTTAGTATTTTTTTTTTTAATAAACAAGATGGCAAGATGCTTCTTTCACATCTCCCTCCACGTAAAAATCAAAGAGAGCATCACTTCAGCAGCATTGGTAATACAAGCAAACTCTGGACCAACTTCAACATTCAGCGTCTCATCAGCAAAGTCGGTAAGCTGGTGCACTGCCAGATGTCTATCAACAAGGACCCTCTGTTAGATGTGGGTCTTAGCAAAAAGGGAGTTGAACATTTACAAAGTACGGAAAAATTAAATACCAGCACCATATGGCCGGCAAACACTCCATTAGCCAAAGTCACTGATCACGAAAGGCGAAACGGAAACGGGCAAATTGACGACAATTCAGGCGCCTAAGAGAAGAGACTCGGCAAGACATGGGAGGATGCGTCACAGCGGTCAAACCACCCTCTACGCTCCAGAGACTGGCGGCAATTACCCCACCCCCCGCCCCCCCCACCCCTAATGTGTCAGCGAAGGAACAATCACCGGGCTCCGGTTAGCGTTGATCAGAGCCAGACTTGGAGCCACACGTTACGATCGAGGTGCAGAAAGGGGGCCGTGGATTTTTCTCGGGGAGACGGCGAGGCCGGGAGAGGGGGGGCAGGAGGGCGAGGAACGGCCGATGAGTCACTTCCGCCCTTTAAATAACACCAGAAATTCCCTTTGCCAAAAAGCGCCAGAGTTGTTCTTAATCTGGGCCTATTTTGAGCCGGATATTCCCAGGGTCTTGGTTCCAGACCGACAATCGTCACACTCCTCTTCCGCTTTAGTTTCCCAAGCCTCTGTTTCTCTCTCTCTCTCCTCCCAGTGCTGCTGCATCACTCACTCACCGTAGTTGTACACGGGGTCCTTGGGTTTGCTGAATAGGAGCCATATGGGGAGGGGAAGGAGAGAGATGAAAGAGGCAAGCGCTTGAGTCATCTCTCTAATGCCATGCTAATCAATAGTAACACACTCTGAACATGATTGCATTTTGCACATTAGTTTTGAGGATGAGCATTGAGAATTGTGATTCATAGAGTTTATGAAGGCAGAGGTAATGCAGCAATTGCTGCCTGAAGGTGAACGATTTTAATCGGTTCATATTAGTCCCTGTTCTGGCACGCGGTTCACAAATGTGGTCATAAGTGAAAAATAGAGAACAAAAAATTAGCAGTGTGCAAAGAAACAGAGAGGAACAAATATTGACAATTACAGTGAGAGACAAAAATAGGAACACTTGGAGTAAAGAACATGCGCAGGTCAGAGACATCATCCAAACTATGATTATAATAAGTGAATGGGCTTGGGCAGAACACGTCACAGCTAGAAGGGATGATGGTCAATGTTCAAGAATGATAAGAGTGGCAAACAAGGAATTGAACATCCACGGAGGAGATGAAGCAGCGAAATCAGTTAATGTGCAGGTGCTTCGTGGATAGTTGCATCTTAAGCTCATGAGAGGTGGCAGTTTTGCTGGAACAGTTCCAATTTCAGAAAGTCTGTCCTGCTGTCCATCAACATTTGTGTAAATCAGGATTTTTATCTCGGGTGTAGAACATTCTAGCCTCGCGCTTGAGGCATGACATGGGCAGAGGGCGGGGCCAACTGCGTGGCAGGAGGTGCCAACGTCAGGAAGGGGCCACTCACGACCGTGCGTGCGGAGATGGTGCGTGAGTGGGCAGGGCTGGCCGAGGAAAGGAGCAGGGGGTTTGCAGCCCGCCGTGTGTGGCGGTTGAGCCTGCCGGGAGCGTGGTGGTGGTGGTGGGGGGCGCTACCTGTCGCCGGGCTTCTTGCCCGAGCAGCTGGTGGTGGAGGAGGTGCGCCCACGCAGCCCCCGCGTCTCCGAGCCGTCGCGACGCACGCTGGACGGCAACCGCTCCATGGAGCTGCTCCGCTTGCTACCGGGCGAGCGAAAGCGTATGTCAGGGTGTGTGTGTATGTGCATGCATTGGTGCGAATGTGGGTGTATGTATTTACATGTGTGTTGGTGTGTGTAGGTGCGTTCGTATGCGTGTACGTGTAGGTACATGTGTGTATGTGTGCGAGTGTTTACATGTGCGGAAGCATATGTATGTGCATAGTGTGTGCGAGCGTGCACAAGTTTACATGTTTACGTGTGCGGACAGGTGCGGGACAGGTGCGGGACAGGTACGGGAACCTCAGCCAAAGCTGGCAACTTAAACACACCCACTGAGCCTTCAGTAATTCCGTCCAATACATAAACACATGCGCACACTCACTGTGGTATTATATTTCTCCGGCAGCCAAAGCTGAGGGGAGGCCACACAGAGAGCCTGGCAGCTGACGGCGGTTCAGCAGCTGGTTGCTAAGAGTTAAACAAAACAAATAAAAAAAATCTCGACTATTTCTCCAGATCAAGTTGGCAAAGCCAAGGGGAGTGTGGCCCTTCCTCGAGGTGTGCTACGCATGCCCCCATTTATACTACGCTCACCGTCCACACTGGCCCCAAGTCATTAGTTAATCCAGGAACGCCTCACCGAGTCTCACAACCCGATTTCACAAGGGCCCTGCATGGGGATGCTTGGCCAATTCCCATGCTAAGTGCATCTCCAGTGGTCCGGCCCGGTGGCTGCTCCATGCCTGGGCGGAATGGGAAGCAGCTCGTGGTGGTCGAGAGTTCTAGTCCTGGTAGGGCATTGACTCTGCCCATCATAAATACAGGGTCGATAAAACAAGGACCACTTTGTGGACTGACTCGCCCCTACCATACAATTGTGGAATTTCCACCACTGGCTTAGGGCTGTAACAAGAGAAGCACTGCCTCAAGGCTAATTTGAGCAGGGAATCGTTGACTGTCTACAAGGAGGAGGAAACATGAGTAACTCGTGCACACGAGAAGATGACTCTCAAAAGTCCACACAGCTGTGTGGACCGGTTTAAACATTCAGTTTCTCATCAGCAGCAGAGACAGGATTGCTCGAACCAATGTTGGTTAACTGCTAAATGTTCATAGGCGAGGACTCTCTCAATTCGATATGGGTCCTAGTTCGATTTTAAACCATAGATGATTTGCCTGCGGACTAACAGCCATCCACTACACAACTTCCACCCGACTACAGAGCGTTCATGGGGGAATAGCAAGAGGCAAAGCTGACCGAGCATCATTATGATTCACGTTCTCTGAGGTTCAGGGAAGTGAAACTGAATGGCTGGTAGGTAATGTGGCTACACCATCTTTATGGGGTTGTCTTGTTCTGCAAAGACTGCGATCCCCATCCTCAGCAGACTCACCATCGCCCCAACCTCCCCCCTCGCCCTAGAGATCCAGCACTCACAAATCTAATCACTTGCTCACCCGTCAGCTGCCTCCATATCTCTCTCCTATCACCACTACCATGGTTACTGGTTACAGTAAACTTGACTCAGTTGTCCCCCATGCGAGGAGCCGGAGCCCCAGATGGAACAATTCTCCTCCTCCAAGGCATGTTCACCACGCCGCAGGTCACAGCGCTTCGTTTTCTGCCTCTTCTCGTGTACCACTCCACTTTGGAATTTACTATCCTACTCCACACCTCCAATTAGCACGGTTGGCTACGTACGGCGCAAAAGAAGTTCAACATACATAATACACTCCCATCGTCTCTTTTTCCCCAAGATCTTACAAAAACCTTGCAGTGCTGTTCGTCGCTGGCTGTCTGACACGTTTAAAGTAAACGACTGCACCGCTGCACTTACTCTGCCCCCCGTGCCAACCCAGACGCGACCTCTCCATGCGGGGTCACCAACCGCCGGCGTAGTTACGAGCGTCGCTATGGCAACGAGAGCCGGCGGTGGCTGCCGCCCAAGTGGGATTCGTCATTCTGTTTTGTTGGAAAATCCGAAACGCGCGCCACGACTGTGCGCGCGTTCGCAGGCAGAGTCGAGTGAGATCGCGTCTCCAGACGCTGCACCACAGGGAGACACGTGCACGTCACGCTGCCCGTGGTGCCGACGAAGGCGAGGAGTGTCGCCCTGCGGAACGTGCCCCCCCCCCCGCCCCCCGCCGCTCACCCCTTGCCCAAGTTGGGGCTGGCCCCCAGGAGCTTGGCTGGCGTTGGGGAGTATGAGGAGGAGGGCGGCGTGGCCTTCCTCGGGGTGTTCGCTCCGTTCCCGATGGACGGCCGCGAGGGCAGGGACACGAGGCCCTGCCGGCCCACGGCTGCAGGACGCACACAAGGACAGACGCACATGCGCGCGCTCTTAAGTGTGGGGTGTTTAGCGAGCGCGTATTAAGACTGGAAAGTCCAAACGCGTGGCCGGGACAGAAGTGCAGCTGCCCATCCTGCCTGCCCGTCTCAGAAAAACAAGACTGCACTGGCTGCAATTTTAGGATTATTTTTGTTAATTATATTTTAAAATGTGTGGCCTAGTAATGAATGTGAAGAACTGGAATCATAACAGCAGCATTGTAAAAAATAATACCAATGCTTTACAACAAACAGAAACACCAACACACCTGCAGACAGAAAGACAAAGTCCCCCCAGTCTATAGCCTCATGGATTGTTGAAACTGTTTGCCATAGCCTGTGAAAAGCATAGACAAAGATCCCCTGTATCGCTTTAGCAATGTTGGGGCAAGTCCTGTTTGGAGCACCTATGAAGGCTGCCACGCCACATCAGGAAGTGGGTGGCCAGCATCTCTCCTACCCGCTTTGTCTTCCCAGTGCTGATGTTCTAGACAAACTGCACTAACTACTCATTTAAGACCGAGAAGACCTAGGGGATATCCAGCACCAGTTCACAAATTCGTCACTGGTTATGGCCGTGAGCAGGAATCAAACTTGTGTCACTGGGTTCATTGTGCAGCGTGCTAACCACTACACACTACCACTCCTCACATGTGTAAACACTCACACCCTGAAACACACACACACAAACACATTGCATGGCTAACAATGGTGGAGGAATCTCATTATGGCAGAAAATTAAGCTCAATAAAAGTAATGAAATGCGGGACTATAATTAGCAGTCCTGCTGGAGAATATTGTTCGCTGCGAGGTGCATGGGGAATGCCATCGCAAAAGGTGAATAGGAATAGGGCGAAACACATACACACATTCACAAAGACCCCCTACAGCTTACATAGACTGTTGGGGCAAATTCTGTTCCCGAGCACCTATTAAGGTGACCATAGCACACGAGGTAGTTGTGGTGAGGCTAAAACCACATCCAGACTGAAGGTCAGTGTGCCAACTGCTACACTACTGCTCCCCACACATCCCCGCTCATGCGGACACAGACACACAGCACCTGCCGCCCCGGTGAGTATAAATATAACCGGAGGAGTTCCGGCACAGCAGCAAGTTCCGGCCGTAATCGCCGGTGCCTCGGCTGCCTCTCCGAAATTGCAGCATTGCTGCATCCAAGCCCACGCAGACGCTCTCGCCGTGCCGGCTCTAGACCTCGCATCGGCACAACTCCACCGCCAAAGCAGCGCTGCTGAAGTAACAGCTTTACATGACGGTCATCGCTTGGAATGAACGAGCCTCGCTTGGGAGGGATTTGAGAGACTTGCCCCATTTGCCGTCGTTCCAAGATGGGTCTCCGCGTGAGTCCGCGTGGCTAAAATCTCCATCATCCTCGGAATTGCATAGTATGATGTCACAAATACCCAAATGAGACTCTTCTCACGTGATTAAACAAAATAAATCTAATACCCAAACCATCCAAGCCTACACTCTATATTTATTTCTCAAGAACACCAGTAACCCACAATCTGATTCCGATTTCCAAGTGTAATTAAATAAACCTGTGGTTAATTAATGGCCACACACACACAGAGAACACCATTCCCCTTGTGCTTTGATCGCTGCCACCAAGTCTGCAGGCTGCCTCTGTATGCCTGGCATCAACTCGGGATCTGCAGCCGTGCCGATACAAGTCAAGGTGACCTCAGCTGGAAATGGGATATTAGTGGAATGCTTTGTCCTAAAAGCAAAGAAAAGCAGAGACTTGTATTGCCTCACACCTGGCAACTTCCTCTTAGTATTTAGTTATTGTTATTGAGAAGGAAGTATCAGAACAATAACTTTCCATGCATTTCCCAGATGGCCCAGGAGGGTTCTGACTGCGAGAGCACCGAGCCCAGCACCAATTAAATATTAGGTTCGAACCCCGGCAACTGCTGGCGATGAGGCCCGTTTCTTCAGCCTGAATAGTTGAGTTGAGGATGCGAGTCCAGTCAATGATGATTCAAATTAAAGCACCTCCTGTAAATGATGACAAAACCCATCACAACAAGAAAATGCGTTGTTTTCACCGGTCAACAAAGACCGCACCACAATGGGATCACCATATCCACCGTGGCTTTTTCATAATTCCAAGACCAAGAGAGTTCACTTTGATCGCCACGTGTAATGGGCAAGGTGTCTCGGTACATGCCGGCACACCATACTATTCAGACCAGTTCCTACGATGTTTCTGCAAAATGTAGCTTTTTTCATCTTATGCCCAGATGGCAAAATTGGAACATCGCTGATAAGATGAAAAAAATCAGGAACAAATGTATTATTTTAATACAGAGCACCCTTACTGAACCCTCAAGGAAAGTGAAATAGAAACTGTATACAACAAGGCCCATGGATTCGTCAAGAGGCCATGTATTTTAAAACATGTTTACACGGGAATAATTCAGCAAGTCACTTAGTGATAGTGAGTGGCTCACAAGCAAAAGGTTGAGAGTAGGAAAATAAAAAATGTTGCCGTTAGAAGAACGCAGCACACAGAAGCAGCAGCCAAACAGCGCCCCCAAGAAAAATAGTCTACAGTAGAGAAAATAAACACCTCTTCTGCCACCACGGAGGGTTTGAGCAACTGGGGATTTACTTTCACAAGGCCGACAACTTCCACAATTACCACACGGCATTAATTGAGAGCGGTTGAATTCAGTCAGTGTCTTCCCAATGATTCAACCACCCACCAATGCCCTCGCATGGAGCCTCCCCCGTCCTTGCGTCTCCCAGCAAACGATGCCAAGCGCCCCCACTCCCCCCCCACGCCATCCCTTGGGGCTGAGAAAGACGCTGGATTGTTCATTCGATCGTTCGTGTCCTGCTCCGACTTGTGCTCTGCCCGAACTTCGGGGTCAATGGCAGAGTCGCAACCTTTGCTCGCCCACTCAAAGTCAAAGCGATTGCTGCTCAAACGAATGCCGAGGCAGTGATCATCTTCCGTTTACAGCTCTGAACCAGCGGTGGACATGCTGCTTTTCTAAAGTGGGGGCGAGTCTATCCATAGGACAACCACTGTTGACTTCCGTGCAGAGTGGTACTCAATTTATCGATCCCAGAGAGATTGATGGGGCTGAGTGAATTCCCAACCAGGAATTGAACTTGCGACCCTCCGATCACGAGCCACTCGCTCCACCACCGAGGCCCCTGGTCCGGTTGGTGGCTCAGTGCAGTTCTACGCACGGTGGCGGCAGCAGCAGCAGCGTGCGCCTGGCGACGGAACATGTACGCGCTATGAGCGAGCGATGCAGGCGATGCTTGCTTGCGTTGCCACGTTTGCAGAGATTGTAGAGCATTTTAAAGTTTGAACCGAAAATAGCATTTGTTTTTAAATCAAATGCCATGGGCTGGATTTTGCCCGACATCCCTTGACTCTGAGGGTGATGGCAACTTGGGAAGGACACCGTGATAAAAAAACTAAATAAATCTGCCAAGGTCTCAATTGGCCATACCTTCATTACGAATATCTTAAGCAACACATTCAGCTCCAACTGAAAAAAGCAGTGGGTGTAAAAATGGTTGATGATCCCACAAAACTCTGCTCAATCGGTCCCTTGTTTTTGCATCGTGCTCTTTTTCCACCTCGTGAGCGATGGGGAGTGGTGACGGGTGGGGGTGGACAGTGGGTGGCATTACAGGGCGATGGGAGAACAAACCGGAGCACAGTTCTTGCTTGTAATTGCTAAAAACAAGCCTTGCTCAATTCCTGCAGACACGCACACGCGTACGCACACAACCCATCATCGTCGCGACAAGTGTGCAGCTGCCAGCAGCCCTGCAATGTCGCGCTTATGCCGCTGCCGACGGAAGAGCCTCCACAAAGACCGACCTCTCGAGTGGTATTAGGTCTACCCTTCCACATCGATCCGACATGCTGCTCGGGTGGTCGAGCTATCTGTACAGTCTGGCCCGAGTGCAGCTACGGCACTTAAATTCTATGACGGTTTAAATAATAACAAACCAAGATGAGGTATTGAGAGTGCAGCGTGTGTGTAGACATCTTCAACTATGCTGAGGACCGCGCGTCTGACAAGACCGGCCTGTGCCATGAACAGTATTGCTCCCTCGACACTCGCCGCTCCAACAGCCAGGCAGGGTTTCTTGCCAACGGGCCGGTCAACCTCCGCCCATTCTTCTCTGCTGCCCCAAACTCCATTTCCCCAACGATCTGTGCTATTGATGTCCTGCCCTTGTTCTAATCCAGGATGAAGACCCTCCTGGTTATGATAGTGATGGTGGCGAGACAGGTGGCGGAAAGAGGTATTGGCGAGGATGGTAACGAGTGATGGCGATGGAGGCAAGGAAGCCAATGGTGGTGGCGATACCTTTGGTGGGCCCCCTGCGGGCGAGCAGGCCGGGCGGCGAGGCCGTGCCGTCAGGCGCGGCGTGCAGCCGCCGGATGACGTCGGCGAGCGCGGCTTTCAGGATGTGGATCTCGTCCTCCTGCATGGCGACGCGCTGCTCCAGGGCGGAGAGCCGCTCCACCAGCTCGCCGCCACCGCCGTCCCCGCCGGCCAAGACCTCCGACGGGCCCACGTCATCTGGGCAACAACCACACGCGTGGCAACGTGAGTTCATCCAGCAGTCAATATACAAAGGTAAAGGTGCAGCCCTGAAATTCCTTGCTCACGCCATCCCTGGCAGAAGGGCTTCTGTTGGAACAACGTGGAGATGGTATCTGGGCTACTCTTCCGCGTTGAGCCGACACATCGGAAGAGACTGCCAACGTTCTTGCTCCGACTGCGCTTCATTTAACAACAGCACCCGCGTGTCCACACAGGAGACGCCATCGCCGACTCCAACGGAGACGAAATCCCCTTGACGTCGTCTCCGTGCTGGAACCCGCACCGGAGCATTGCTCACCGCCGCAGCGACACACGGCGCCGCTGTGGGCGTCAACAAACCTCGGCGAGGTTCTCCCTTGCTCGACAAGCGGCAGAGGATTGTACGTGGCTATTGTCGGTGAAGCACAAGTAAACGGGAATTGTTATCCGTTACTGTCACATTCGGAGCATTTGCCATGAGGTGCATGATGTTGAGGCTGCAAACGGGATACCGTCGTCATTCTACGCCATTTGTCAATCCCCTTGTGGGTGAAGGCTGAGCCACACTATTGGGAAAGAAGTTGTCCGACCAGCTATAATTCGCCAGGCTGGCCTCTGTGGGTTGATTGACGGGGGCAAGGGACCAAGGACTGGTTCAGATATCTCTCGCCACCGATGTTGACCTCAGTAGGGAATCATCAACCGTGATCTTCGTCAACATCATCATTGTTCCGCTTGTTACCCCAGGGAAGATGCACGGAGTCGCAGGACTCTTTCTGAAGGGCCCCCCCCCCCCCCCTGCCAGGTTGGGGGGAGATGGTTTCCAAATATAAATCCCAGTTGAGTAATTTGCATGTAATTATGGAGCATTGGGATGTTTGGACAAAACCAGTGGAAATCCGGAAGAAATCCATGCTGAACAGGAGAATATACAAACTCCACTAACTCACGCTCTACAGAACACGAGCAGAAGATACCGAGCAGAGCGTACAAACTCCACACAAATAGGCGCAAGCCACAAGACCGACCACTGCATCACCCAAACACGACCTTGGACTGCAATACAAAGCAAGACATGACAACTTACAAAGGCATCCAACATCACACACTGTGGGAATAAAAAGATGTAACCATCTTCTCTATAAACACTCGACATGCAGGCCCAGACTCTTGTAACATACAGCGCTTAGCTACGCAATGAAGCATTCAACGTTTCCATCACAATCACAACCCAAGTGCAAGTAGAAAACTGAATTTACAACGTAGCGACACCACATTGCCCATCCAGAGCAGCAGAGTGCTCCACCCCTCCCTGCGCCGGCTCCGTTCATCTGCAGTGATTGCAGGGACTCGGTGCGTTTCGGCTGACCAGGCAAAACGGCGGTGGGGCTTTGTGATGAGCCGATGTTGATGGCGGGGGCGGCGAGGTGGGGTCCTGTGCGTGTGTGTGGGATGGCGCGTGGCCTTGCCCCGGCTGTGGGAGAGCGGCTCCCACGCGTGGCGTGGTGGCAGCAGCGGTGGCATGCGCGGAGTTCTCAGGGACACGCGTACCCAGCACGCATACGTACCCAGCATGCAGGCACCCAGCATGCGCACGTACACACACATGTATCCAACACGCGTAAAAAAGACAAAGATTCCCCCGTATAGCCTGAACAGACTGTTGGGGCAAGTGCTGTTAGCGAGCACCTATGAAGGCCGACACGACACGTGAGAGGGTGAGTGATCAACACCACGCCTGGCTGCCTTTGGTCTCCCTAGTGGTGATGTTTACACACCGCACCAGGTACTCGTTTGAGGCTGAGTCGACCTAGGGGAGGCCCAAGACCGGTTCAGATAATCGTTACTGGTGTTGGCCGTGAGTGGGCATCAAACTCGGGTAGCCAGGTTTGCAGCGCTAACTGCTACATGACCGCTCCCCACCAACACGTACCCAACACACACACACGTATCCAGCACACACCCCTAACCAGCATGCACCCACACACACACACGTATCCAGCACACACCCAACAACAACCGCCATTCGCCACTAAGTGGCGGTGACGTCACCACGACGCTTGTGCAAGGCCAAGTGCACCTTGCGGCCACATGAAGTGTCGAACGCCCGCTGGCAGGAGGTCACGGGGCAGACCCAGCAGGTGCCACGGGTCGACTGACCGAGATGACCGAGATGACTGGCTGATGCACCACCTGTGCCCCCTACTGTACCAACTTGTTGTGCTTTAGCCACCCGGCACTCCGCTCGTTGTTGTGAGCGTCGCTCCTCCGCCCTCCGTTGTTGTTGGAGGGCGACTGCCTCCAACTGCTCAGTAGCGTCCTTCACGAGCCTCCTCCACTGAGGCCGATCTTGACACCGCTGGTACCAGTCATCGGCAAGTCCACTCAGCTACACGTCCTCCTGTACCACATCACTCCATCTCTGCTCTAGCCCGTGCCGCGCCCATTTAGCCCCCTCTATCCGGCCGAACAAAAGCTGTTTGGGCATGCGGTGGCTGGGCATGCGGGCTACATGACCCAGCCAACACAGCCTTGCCTGTTGGAGGAGCTCCTCATACATTCCAGCCTGGTTAAAACCAGGATGGATTGTAGGCAGGCCAGTCTAAATGTGTCTAACCAGCGAAGATGTTCCATTAGGGGGGTCCACGTTTTGCAAGTGTAGAGAAGGGAGGGCATGAGTGTGGCCAAGAAGACCCGAAGCTTCACGTGGAGCGGCAGACCAGGTAGCTTCCACACAGCATTACACAAACGATGAAAAGATAATGCTGCTCGACTCATTCGGAGTGAGACCTCTGTTGTCAAACCGGAGACGGTCATGAGCACACTCCCCATGTATGGGAAACTCTCCACAACTGCCCTATCTAGGAGATGTGGAGGTGGAGTATCTGATGGTACAAAATACCCAGGCAGGTGCTTAGTTTTGGTGGGCTGATGGTAAGGCCCGACCTCTTAGTGGCACGCTCCAGGTTCAGCAGCAGCGCCTCCAACTCCTCCTCTAATTGAGCAGAAATTACCAGATCATCGGGATGCATAACATGGTTGACCAATAGAGAACCATCCCTTGACCGCACCCTTTCCTGAAACCATATTGGGGCTTCTGCAAGCCTCTGCTCAGCATGCCTGGCAAGGCAATGTTGAATAATCCTTGCCAGGACCTTTCCTGGCACACTGAGAAGTGAGATGCCCCTGTAGCTGTTAGTCTGTGTGGTCCTCTTTCTTAAAGAGGGGGACCACCAGGGCATCCTTCCAATCCTGTGGAATCTGTCCAGTGGTCCAGACTGCTATTATGATATCATCTAGGAAAATCTGTGCACAAACGTCACCCTCCCTCAGCATTTCGCTTGGGAGATCATCTCTGCCTGGTGCCTTTCCTGGTCTCAGATTCTGGATCGTGTTTAGTACTTCCTCAACAGATGGCACCTCAGTCAGCCACTCACAGGAGGTGACTACTTCTTCCAATATTTGAGGCATGGCAGCCTCAGCAAGTTCATCTTCACTTTGTCCCATGCTGTTTTCCAGGTACCCAGCACACACGCACGCACACACACACATATCCAGCACGCACCCAGCATACACACACACACGTATCCAGCACAAACCCAGCACATACACACACACGTATCCAGCACGCACCCAGCACACACACGCACACACATACCCACAAGGATCCCCGTATTGGTATTATATAACAGATTTGGGGCAAGTGCTGTCAAACAGCACCTAGTAAGGCCGACATGACGCACAAGGAGGCAGTTTGACCAACACCACATCCGACCGCCTTTACCTTCCCAGTGCTGATATTTGCACACCGCACCAGGTATTCAATTAAGGCCGAGTCGACATCAGGGAGGTCCAGGACCATTTTAGATATTAGCGATTAATTTTTGCCATGGCCAGGAATTAAACTCAGGGGAATAAGTTTTGTTGCGTAGTGTACTAAACAGGGTGCCATCGATCCACCCACACACACAAACACTAAGTTCCCCATATCGCCTTTATCTGACTGTTGGGGCAATGCTGTTAGAGGACCTATGGGTGGACAGCACCACACCTGGCCACCTTTGTCTCCCCAATGGTGCCGTTGACACACCAGGTAACCATGTAAGGCTGAGCTACACGTGCACACACACACGCAGATTTATAGTCCCAAATGTACCCGTGTTGACCTGTGCCCCCTTCCCAACAGAGAACTCATTACGACCGCACACTGTCACCGCCACCTTACATCATCGTTAAGAGGCTGTCCAGAAAAGGGAGCCATCACTTAATGAGTCCTCTGATGCAATCGCTCGTTAAAATCAGCCACGAGCCAAGGAGCGCTCCCGCGCTCAATCCCGCGTTCCGCTCCGGGCGGGTGGTGCGGCGAGCACCACACCCAGTAGTCATCTTTGTCTCTGTAACAATGAACTTTCCAACCACGGCCCCAGGTACATTCCTTCGTGGCCGAGTTAACCTATGGTGGGGGCTTCCGCCCCGTGGGCTGTATGGCTGAGGGATGCGGAACTCTGTTGCAGATGCTACAATTCGTTTTCACAGCTGAAAAGCACCAAATGCTGTACTACTTTCGATCGCATATCTATCGAGTTGAGTGAAAAACAAGCCAGATAATTGACGTTATAACTTTTTTCATTCACTCATTCATTTAACAGCACTTTTGGAGTCGTGCAGTTTTTTTTATTTATAAATATGCAATAGGTGTGTGGGGTGATCCAGAGGCTTCAGATAGGAATGGGCAATAATGGCTGGGTGCAGTCGGAATTGAACCCGACAATGGATAAAATAAGGAGACCACGTCTCCTTCACACATACCGTCTCACCACACAAACACCAAAGTATTCCTCACACAACCCATCAGCACACGCACGGCCTTCTGGGATTGAGGAATTTCAGCATAATGTGAAGTGTTGATCACTGCCACATGTACATGCACCTGTACCGGACTGGACAAATCTCTTGTGTAGCGTTACCATGTGGAATGTGCCATTAGCAAGCACCCATAGAGACGCAGGGGGTGCTCCTGAGGTTCCTGGGGGGCCTAGGCTCGAGGCCTGTGTCAGAGTGCCACGTAAGGACCCCCTTTAATTCTTTACAGACAAATAAACTGGTTTGTTGTGGGGCCCTCTTTTGTACGAGGCTAAATTGCCACTTTTGCTCCCCACAAGCATTATAGGGTATAACTGTGGCCAAGCAGACCCAAAGCTTCGTATGGAGTGACAGGCCAGGTAGCTTCCACACAGCAACATCACGCAGCTGATGACAAGATAATGCTGCTCGACTCGATTTGAGCAAGACATCAGCTGCCAAACCAGAGCTGGCCATGAGCACACTGCCCAGGTACAAAAACTTCTCCACTCTCTCCACAACTGCCCTATCACTCATGGGGAGTTGCGGGGGTTGGTATTTGATAGAAATAAGTACCCAGGCAGGTGCTTTGTTTTGATGGGGCTGATATTAAAGCGTCACCACTTCGTGGCACGCTCCAGGTGGCATCCACTGGTGCACAATAACACACATGCAAACGCATGCAATCGTGCGTGCACACACTCACCCACTCGCACATATGCAAATAGGCAGACACATGCACAAATAAAGCCACAAACGCACACACACACACGTGTACACGTGTACACATGCCCAAGACAAATACAAAGATCTCCCCTTGCCCCAACAGACACACTTGTTGGGGCAAGTGCGCTTAACAGACACCTATGAAGGCCTCCACGATGAATGAGGGGGCGGTGCAGTTAGAACCAAACTCAGCCACCTTTGTCTCCCCAGCACTGATGTTTCTGTCGGGAACTGCAGCACCAGGTATTAATTTAAATAATGGGTTGACCTAGGGGAGGTCTGCGTGTGGATTTTGACCAGGACAGGTGGCAACCCTGGTGTGCAGAGGCTTGCAGTCCAGGTTTGACCAGGATGGCCTGGGAATTGGATCGCTGCTCAGGTGACAGGAATTGATTTGTACGGAGATCTGGTATGGGCCTCGTTGAACCCTATTGGCATACACGAGTTTTCATGAACATAGGCTGGCTGGGTTTGGCCTTCAGTGGGAAGCTCTAGTGGGAACCGTGGCGACCCTACTTGCAAATCCACACAACCGAACGGGGCACGCAGCAAAGAACGCAGACTCGTTGTGGCACCAATTATTGGCCCCTTCTGTTCCACAAAAAATCTAATCACTGAAATCCTAATCTCCGTATCGGTTGCCTGGCCAGACACCTCGCCACATCGGCATTGTAAGCACACGGCTCACAGCTCGTCATCCAGTGCGGCAGCGGTGCCGCCAGATCAGTTGGACCCCAATGCGCAGCAATTTCCAGGGTTTGCTAATTAAATTGACACAGTGTGAATAATCCTGGGCCCTGCAGCCACCTAACAAACACCTGCCCCAATTGCATAATACCATTAACAACGTTCCACGAGCCCTCTTTGTAAGGCCAACAGTGCAGCCTCCGCCGCTCGCAATCAGAAAGCTGCGAGCTCAAATTCTGGTTGATGGTTGACTCAGCCCATCATCCCTCAGGCATTGATAAAATAAGTACCACTGTGGAGGGAGTTGAGAGTGGTTGCCCCCACAATAGGAACATTGAATTTTTCACCGAGTTTTAAATCAGGTGCACTAAAGTTAATTTAAATTGGTCCTTCATTTCACACAGAAATGCTTCAGATGAATCTCAAGATTCCTTTTCAGGAGGGTTCTGCTTGGAAGGTTAGGCCAAGTCATTAATGGGTATTTTGCCCATCCACATGAGGGGATGCCACTCAAGCAGATATTATAATTACAGCCCTTTGTAAACCCAATGATTGGGGACGGGGGAGGGTGGGTCCCTGAATCAGAGCGCGAGCACATGGCAGTAAAACTCACGGCGCGGGTGCCAGGCTCGAGGTAAAGCCACAACACCGAGCGGTGCCGCCCCACTGCCTTTGGCCACCGCAGCCACGCAATAACGTCAACGAGTTCCGCGTCTGTGGTCCTGATTATGCCGCATCGTGCACGATTATAAACGAAAGCAAGCAGGCGCACGTGTACATGCATGCAAGCACGTTCCTGTTTTAAACGCTTCCCTTCATTTATGCTTGAAAATGTTGAGTTATATCGATGGCCATTTACGTTGTCCAGTCGAATGAACACAGGACAGTGCTCGCAAAAACCGTCGGTCTATTGGTAGAAATTTTTAATTCGTAATTATACGCACAGAACACCACCGGTTTAGTATTAAGTTGTTCGACCCAATCAGCTCATCGTCCATTTACTAACCCGGATGATGATGAAACCGTCAACCCTGGCCAGGAATTGAATGACCATGAATTCGGACCCAGTGGCTCGACAGACTCTTCGGGAAAGCGCTGTTAGCAAGAAGCACCTGTGAAGGCCGACACGACACAAGAAGGGGGGGGGGGTGGTGTGGCCAGGACCATAGCCAGCCACCTGTATCGCCCCAGCATTGATCAGGCCGATTCAACCTAGGGGAGGCCAGGACCGATTCAGACAGTCCATCCACATAAAGACACATGCACACACATTCTTTCACATAAATACATGCGCATGCGCACACGCGCGCACGTACGTGCGTTTACGCAAATCTGTGCGTTTACGCAAATAACAGTGCGGGGGATCCACCTGCATACCTGCATGCACACACACCGACACGAGAGGGCAAAGGTCGTGGGCGTTATCGGCGTGGCCGGCGTCCGCACAGCAATCAACGAGCGGTAAAGGTGGCCATGGCAGGGGCGAGGTCTGGCTCGGCGACCACGGTGGGAGCACACGTCCGGCGTCTACGCGGCCCGAGCCGGCCCCCCCCCAGGTCCCAACACGAGCTCACCGGGCCCCCCCAGGTCCCAGCACGAGCTCACCGGCCCCCCCCAGGTCCTAGCACGAGCTCACCGGGCCCCCCCCAGGTCCCAGCACGAGCTCACCGGGCCCCCCCAGGTCCCAACACGAGCTCACCGGGCCCCCCCAGGTCCCAGCACGAGCTCACCGGGCCCCCCCAGGTCCTAGCACGAGCTCACCGGGCCCCCCCAGGTCCCAGCACGAGCTCACCGGGCCCCCCCAGGTCCCAGCACGAGCTCACCGGGCCCCCCCCGGTCCCAGCACGAGCTCACCGGGCCCCCCCCAGGTCCCAGCACGAGCTCACCGGGCCCCCCAGGTCCCAGCACGAGCTCACCGGGCCCCCCCAGGTCCCAGCACGAGCTCACCGGGCCCCCCCAGGTCCCAGCACGAGCTCACCGGGCCCCCCCCAGGTCCCAGCACGAGCTCACCGGGCCCCCCCCAGGTCCCAGCATGAGCTCACCGGGCCCCCCCCAGGTCCCAGCACGAGCTCACCGGGCCCCCCCCCAGGCCCCAGCACGAGCTCACCGGGAGTGCAGAAGTGAAGCAGGGCCGAGGTGTCGTAGCGGTCGGCAAAGCTGATCCAGCCATCCTCCATCGCTCCCCGCGCGCCCCACCGATACCTCCACCTCGTTCCTCCTCCGCTCCCAAATGCCGCGCTCTCCTCTAACGCGATTCGGTATCCGCACGAGCCTTTAGAAATTGCGCCGGCGGTTTCTGTGCCCCCCTGGTTCTCCGTCGGGCGTGGTCACTCGCTCTCCTTGCGTCCCTCTCAGGCAGTGTCCCTCTCGCACGCCGTCTCTTCCTTCACAGCCCCCCCCCCTCTCTCTCTCTCTCGATCTCCTGCTCCTTCTCGCCACCCTCCCTCCCGTCTCTCGCTCTCTCCCTCCCTCCCTCCCTTTCTCTCGCTCACAACATAACCATGGCAACGTGTTCTAATTGTCACGTGAGCGCCGTCGCTTGGGTAACCGCTTCAAGGCAGTGTTGCACGGCCCGGGTGCGTGAGCATGCACGCACACACACCAGCATGCATATGCCCACTCACATGCACACACACACACACTCTACCATGTGAACATGCTAACACACGCACACCCGCTCTCTCGCACGCACGCACATGGACGGCTTGTATACTCGTATGCACACAAACACGCACCCCCGTGCATATGCGTTTACACACGAATACACCCTCACGCACACACAGCTACAGTTTGTGCAAACGCAGGCACTCGTGCAAACATTGCAAATGCATGGCCGCATGGTTAAGGTCACAGCAAATACAAATACAAAAAGCCCAGCATAGCCTTAACAGACTGTGGGGCAAGTGCTGCGAGCGAGCATCTATAAAGGCCAGTACGGTACACGAGGGGGTGGCTGGCAACAACCATGCCAGACCGCCTTTGTCCCCCCAGTGGCAATGTTTACACACCACATCACGAACTTATTTGAGACCGAGTCGAGCGAGGTGAGGCCCAGGACCGGTCGACACGCGCGCGCACACACACACATACCAGGACTGCACACATATGTAGTTTTACACACATTAAACACAACCACAAAACGTATGCATGCATGTGAACACAAGCACACAATCACAAAGGCCGGCACGTCGCATAAGGGCACGGTGTGGCCAGTTTGCACCCCTCTCGGCTGCCTTTGTCTCCCCAGCGTTGATGCGCACGCACACCGCACGAGGTACTCGTGTCGACAACAGCGAAATAAAGAGGTGGTTGGGGTGGAGTTCGTGGCCGCAGTACATAAACGCAGCCTCCTCCACGGCACCACCTCCACATCCCCACCGCCTTGTGACCTCAAGTGCCCTGGCCTCTGGGACGGTCACTTCCCCTCCAATTTCCGTGCCCCCCACGATTAAAACGCAATCGCGCTGCCCGGCCGCGGCCGTCGTCATCATTCGGTGTTGTTTTGTAGCAGTTGTCTCAAGCGTTGGGATGCGTAAAGCGAGTGACCGGAAACCATGAGAGTAAAAACAGTAAAAGCACGGTTACGTATTTGCCGCACGAATGTCTCACAATAAACACAAAGCGTTTCCCTGTTGAACCGAGAAACGCGAGGGCACTGCCACGGTGCAAATGCTAATCAAGCTGGACTTGCTGCGCAGAGGTGGCCGGATTGATTTGATCCCATCTCCAGTTGAAACAACGGTGGTCATTTCAAATCAATGCATTCATCACTCAAATTCCACTGGAATCGGATAGCAGTCACTGGTCGTCAGAATTGGTCATCAATTCTGAAGACGGTTTACGGTTTTACTACTTGGCATGGTCGTAGACACGCACAAGGACTCCTGAGTTCAGGAACGAGCCAATGGCCAAGTCTCGGTTTAAGGCCAAGGACGGTCAGGACAAGAAGCCGTTGTGACATGAACACAGTTGCTGGCCCAAAGGCCCAGCATGTCACATGGCCAGCAACAAACAGCACAACGACAGCTGTAATGATTAGAAGCGTCTCTTGAATAGAGAGCTTGGACAGAGCCGATGAAAGGGAATTCCAGAGGGGAGCAGTGCGAGGGAAGAAGTGACGTTTGTGAGCGCCTATTACGGCTGGCAAGGCAAGAGGGTGATGTCGTGAGCACTTGGCCACACCCCCTTTGTCTCTCAGGTTCTGACGTTCACACGTCACACCAGCTACTTGTTGAAGGCTGCGTCGAGCGAGGTCATGGCAGGTTCAGATACCAATTGCCACTGGTGAATTAATGTTTGCACAGTCATCAATTGAACACAGACTGCCGGGCTTTGTGGCGCAGTGCACAAACGATTCATACATACAGGCACACTAGTATTCGACAGAAGTCAAAGTTTATTTTGCTTTACCAGGTGAGGATTCAAGAGACTAGGATGATGTATCATTCGTAGGTGACCTGCATTACCAAAATGACAAAAGCAATAACGTAAAATAAAGTCCTGCAATTAAGAAAATAAAAATCTGTGCAAAAACAACCACACCGACATAATCTATGTTAAATAGAACAAACGTTCTGAAATGAAAGTTGGCTCGGACAAATCACTTGTGAAATAGTCAATTAAATTATAGAAACATTAAACTGGATTGAGATCGTTATTGACCGAGCAGCATGTAGAGACCAGGGCGCCCGTCCAACACAAACGGACACTGCACGCACACACGTGGAGCCGCGACACTCACACACACGTGGAGCCGCGACACTCGCGCACACACGTGGAGCCGCGACACTCGCGCACACACGTGGAGCCGCGACACTCACACACACGTGGAGCCGCGACACTCGCGCACACACGTGGAGCCGCGACACTCACACACACGTGGAGCCGCGACACTCGCGCACACACGTGGAGCCACGACACTCACACACACGTGGAGCCGCGACACTCGCACACACACGTGGAGCCGCAACACTCGCGCACACACGTGGAGCCACGACACGCACACACGTGGAGCCACGACACGCACACACACGTGGAGCCATGACACTCACGCACACACGTGGAGCCACGACACTCACACACACGTGGAGCCGCGACACTCGCACACACACGTGGAGCCGCAACACTCGCGCACACACGTGGAGCCACGACACGCACACACACGTGGAGCCACGACACTCACACACACGTGGAGCCACGACACTCACACACACGTGGAGCCACGACACTCACACACACGTGGAGCCACGACACTCACACACACGTGGAGCCACGACACTCACACACACGTGGAGCCACGACACTCACGCACACACGTGGAGCCACGACACTCACGCACACACGTGGAGCCACGACACTCACACACACGTGGAGCCACGACACTCACGCACACACGTGGAGCCACGACACTCACGCACACACGTGGAGCCACGACACTCGCGCACACCCGTGGAGCCGAGACACTGCACACACATGTGGAGCCGAGACACTGCACACACACGTGGAGCCGCAACACTCGCGCACACACGTGGAGCCGCAACACTCGCGCACACACGTGGAGCCACGACACTCGCGCACACACGTGGAGCCGAGACACTGCACACACACGTGGAGCCGAGACACTCGCGCACACACGTGGAGCCGCAACACTCGCGCACACACGTGGAGCCACGACACTCGCGCACACACGTGGAGCCGAGACACTGCACACACACGTGGAGCCGAGACACTCACGCACACACGTGGAGCCACGACACTCGCGCACACACGTGGAGCCGAGACACTCGTGCACACACGTGGAGCCACGACACTCGCGCACACACGTGGAGCCGAGACACTGCACACACACGTGGAGCCGAGACACTCGCGCACACACGTGGAGCCGAGACACTGCACACACACGTGGAGCCGAGACACTCGCGCACACACGTGGAGCCACGACACTCACGCACACACGTGGAGCCGAGACACTGCACACACACGTGGAGCCGCGACACTCGCGCACACACGTGGAGCCGAGACACTGCACACACACAATGTGCCCTCCCTCACGAACAACACCTGCTCTCCGCTCGACCCAGACGTGTGTAATGCGCACACGATGCCACGCACGGCTACTCTGTCTGCGAACCCAGACTCATTGGCACTCCGCTCCGTCTGCACAAACCCCCCCTTCCAAAAAGCCAAAAACAAATCGGGATTAGCAGAAGACCGTTGATAAATCCTCCTGGCACCTCCTTCCCAGGCCCTCCCTGCAATCCAACTCCTCTTGGGACAAACCGGCGATGCACCAAACGGCTTGGAGTTCACCCAATGCCGAGTCCCCATTTTGCTTCTGCTTAACACATAATGGCCACAGGACAGAAACAAGAATTCATGATGTCTCCAAGCGGTTTTGAGGGTTTCCAAGCCAAACTTAGATCACATGTGGGATTATTTTGTTACTAATTAAACATGGCTCCCATTTATAAATAAAAGCATTTTTCAAAGGACCGGCAGACACGGAGACACACAGACAGACACGCAAGCAGAGAGAGACAACACAGAGACACACAAAGACAAACAGAGAGAGACTATGTTGCGTGTCTGTGTTGTCTCGCTCTGCTTGTGTGTCTGTCTGTGTGTCTCCGTGTCTGTGTTTTGTCTCTCTCTCAAATTTAGCAATCTTTGGAAGAACGTTATCAACCAGGTGAGGTGCCGACTGTTGTGTTGGCCGACTCTCTGTTGTATTATATTGCATTTTTAAGTTCACGAGGTTTGTTTTCTACCTGATGACGGTTGCTTGTGTTGTGACCGAAACGTCGTATTATATTATTTAATTTATTTTCTTTCTACGTGACTTTACCAAAAGAACCAAAACTATTAATTGGTTGACCTGCACTGAGGATCTTCAGCAGAAGTCTAACTCGTTGAGGAAATGCCTTTGAGCGACGTTGGGAATCTGGCCATCAACCTTTTGCTGACTACCATACTGATCGTTTCACCGCCCTCACAGTGTTCAGCCACCACACGGCAGGTCACACCACACTCACTCACCACACTGGAAGTAACCTCACTTTTTCAACGGTTTTACTTAACTTGATTCCTCTGTTTGTCTGGTCAAATCTTGTAATCAAAATTTTGTCCACTTCCCGTTGTCCAATCAAATCCACATTTTGCACACGCACTCGGATCCGTGGCAATGCATGCCTGTATCAAAATCAAGTAATCAATTAATGATCTACTTTAAAGCAATTTACATTTTGTATGGACGCCTTATTATTTATATATATTGGTGTAGGTCAAAAACGCCGCGGTCCCTAAACTGTGGAATCGGCTCGCACAAAACGCAGGCGCCGCGTGTCTCAGGCACCATTGACGTACTTATCGACC